TGAATGATATTTTATTGTCTAAACAAACCACCTTCTGTTTATCCATTCTTCCACTGATAGACCCTTGAGATGTTTCTAGCTTTTGGCGTGAATAATGCTGCTATGAACATGGGTGTATAAGTTTCTGTTTGAATCCTTGCTTGCAATTTTTTGGGGTGTATGTGTGTGTATATACATATGTATATGTATATACACATATATATATGGAATTGCTGAGTCAAATGCTAATCCTACATTTAACTTTTTGATGACCCACCAAACCATTTCCTTGTAGTTTATTAATTTGGGGCTGTGCTGGGTCTTCGTTGCTGCATGTGAGCATCTCTAGTTGTGGTGAGCAGGGGCTACTCTCTAGTTGCATTGCTGAGGCTTCTCATTTTGGTGGCTTTTCTTGTTGCAGAGCACGAGCTCCAGGGCACACAGGCTTCGGTAGTCATGGCTCATGGCCTCCAGAGCGTGGGCTCGGTAGTTGTGATTCATGGACTCAGTTGCCCCACAGCATGTGGGGTCTTCCTCGACCAGGGATCGAACCAGTGTCCCTGGCATTGCAAGGCAGACTCTTAACCAGTGGACCACCAGGGAGGCTTTCCTTGTAGTTTGAATTTGCACTTCTCTTACTGTAACTGAGGCTGAGCATCTTGTCACATGATTGGGTACTTTGTCATTCCTTTCCGCTGAACTCTGTGGGTTCATAAATCATGCTGTGTCTGGGCTGGGATGCTGTTTTTATTTCCTTAATGCCTTTCCCAGTGGTCTTTTCCTGTTCTCCAAGGGACCCCCATCTGTCCAGTCATGGTCCACATTGCATACATAGATGCTATTCTATAAATACTTCTCACAGGACTGTCCCAAAAGAGAAGGTAGCATTTCTCTGGCTTCAGCCAGGCCCTTCAGGAAGCACTGGCTTTCTGCTCCCATCTGTACTTTCTTCTCCACGACCCACCACCACTGTCACCCAGTGTCTTAAAGAGATATCATTATATTCATTCATAAAATATCCCTCCTCAGTCCCCACTGTTTTCCTGGCACCTTCATGACGTGGGTGATCAGTGTGGACCTACCATCTGTGGATGTACTTCCTGAATTCCAGTGGTACCTGTGACATTTGTCCAGCAGAATTTGTCAAACATACGAACCAAAGGTTAATATTCTGTCCCAGAGACAGAAGGAATTGACAGTCTGAGGGAGTGTCAATCTTTTTTTTTTTCTCCCTAAATTCATGTAACATAAAATTAATTTTTAAAAAATGTACAATTCAGGGACTTCCCTGGTGGTCTAGTGGCTAAGACTCTGCTCTCCCAATGCAGGGGGCCTGGGTTTGATCCCTGGTCAGGGAACTAGATCCCGCATGCTGCAAAAAAGACCTGCTGCAGCCAAATAAATAATTATTAAAATAAAAAATAGTTTTAAAAAATATACAATTCAGTGGCATTTAGTCCATTCACAGTGTTGGGCAACTATCACCTCTGTCTAGGTCCAAAATATTTTCATCACCCCCAAAGGAGACCCCATGCCCACTGGCAGTCACTCCCCATTTCCCCCAACACCTCCCTACTCCTAGGCAACCACTAATCTACTCCCTGTCTGTATGAATTTGCCTGTTCTAAAAACTTCATATATAGAATCATGCACATGTAATCTTTTGTGTCAGGCACCTTCCCCTTAGTGTCATGTTTTTGAGGTTCCTTTTTAGTCATATTCCATTGTGTAGACAGACCAGTTTTTGCTTATCCATTCATCTGTCAGTGGATGTGTAGGTTGTTTTTTTTCCCTTTTGGCTGTTGTGAGTAAAGCTATTTGGGTATATACCTAGGAACAGAATTGTTTGGTCATATGGTAATTCTCTGTTTAATCTTTTGAGGAACCACCAAGCTATTTTATATTAACATTTTTTGTTTTTAATCTCATGTTTGCCTTTCATCTTGCAGGTACTAGTTGGGGGCTGAATTAGGGGAACATTAGATCATAGGTATGTGGAGCCTGACTCCTCACACAACCAAATCACCCAGGCTCACATACTCTCTGAGCACCTGTTCTTCCTCTGGTATGACCCCTGACCCCTCACTCCTCAGCTGAGAATTGTTGGCCTGAGATCAGGCCAGGCGACTGGACTCCTGTGTGCATGGTCTTCACATTAGCAGACCTGGACCAATCCCTCTCCCTCTCTTGAGCCACAGTCTCCCCATTTACAAAATGAGGTTATAATGGCAAACCAACAACATAGAGTGCCTGTGAAATTACCCTGATGTGTGGAAGATATTTTATAAACTGTAAAGTGCTGTCTGAACCATTGCTGTTGTGAAATGATGCAGCCTAGAGGTCACCATGCAGAAGTGTTTCATTTCACCTGCCCAACTTTTTAAAATATTTAAAATAACTGCTGATTTAAACAAACAAACAAAAAAGAGATCTCATTTAAAATCCTGGCTTTAGAGCCTCTCCTTAAAAAAAAAAAGAGAGAGAGAGGTGAGGAGGTAACCAGACAATTCTAGGCTCCAGTCCTTGCTTAACAGTAATTGGCTTGAACTAGAAGCAGCTGCCACCTCTGTAAGGGGTGTGGGTGCTCAATGTTGGGGTTTTCTCATATTTGGTTTCTACAGGAATTGAATTTGGGATTCTTGTTTTGTGTGAGGAGGAGCTTTTAAAATAAGGAAATGTAAAACAAGGGCCTACTGTATAGCACAGGAACTAGATTCAGTATTCTGTGATAAGTCATAGGGCTTCCCAGGTGACAAAGAACCCGCCTGTCAATGCAGGAGACACAGGTTTGATCCCTGGGTCAAGAAGATACCCTGGAGGAGATTATGGTAACCCACTTCAGTATTCTTGCTTGGAAAATTCTCTGGACAGAGGAACCTGACAGGCTGTAGTCCATGGGGGTCTCAAAGAGTCGTACACAACCAAAGTGACTTAGCATGCACAATAGATCATAATGGAAAAGAATATAAAAAAGAATGTATACGATATATAACTGAACCACTTTTGCATACAGCAGTAACTAATGCAACTGCTGTGTAAATCAGCTGTACATTTTAAAAAAAAAAGGCTTACTTTATCTTTCTGGCTTACTTCACTCTGTATAATGGGCTCCAGTTTCATCCATCTCATTAGAACTGATTCAAATGATTTCTTTGTAATGGCTGAGTAATATTCCATGGTGTATATGTACCACAGCTTCCTTATCCATTCGTCTGCTGATGGGCATCTAGGTTGCTTCCATGTCCTGGCTATTATAAACAGTGCTGTGATGAACATTGGGGTGCACGTGTCTCTTTCAGATCTGGTTTCCTTGGTGTGTATGCCCAGAAGTGGGATTGTTGGGTCATACGGCAGTTCTCATGAGTGATGCTGAGCATCTTTTCATGTGTTTGTTAGCCATCTGTATGTCTTCTTTGGAGAAATGTCTGTTTAGTTCTTTGGCCCATTTTTTGATTGGGTCATTTATTTTTCTGGAATTGAGCTGCAGGAGTTGCTTGTATATTTTTGAGATTAATCCTCTGTCTGTTGCTTTGTTTGCTATTATTTTCTCCTAATCTGACGGCTGTCTTTTCACCTTGCTTATAGTTTCCTTTGTTGTGCAAAAGCTTTTAAGTTTCATTAGGTCCCATTTGTTTATTTTTGCTTTTATTTCCAATATTCTGGGAGGTGGGTCATAGAGGATCCTGCTGTGATTTATGTCGGAGAGTGTTTTGCCTATGTTCTCCTCTAGGAGTTTTATAGTTTCTGGTCTTACATTTAGATCTTTAATCCATTTTGAGTTTGTTTTTGTGTATGGTGTTAAAAAGTGTTCTAGTTTCATTCTTTTACAAGTGGTTGACCAGTTTTCCCAGCACCACTTGTTAAAGAGGTTGTCTTTTTTCCATTGTATATCCTTGCCTCCTTTGTCGAAGATAAAGTGTCCATAGATTCGTGGATTTATCTCTGGGCTTTCTATTCTGTTCCATTGATCTATATTTCTGTCTTTGTGCCAGTACCATACTGTCTTGATGACTGTGACTTTGTAGTATAGTCTGAAGTCAAGCAGGTTGATTCCTTCAGTTCCATTCTTCTTTCTCAAGATTACTTCGGCTATTCGAGGTTTTTTGTATTTCCATACAAATTGTGAAATTATTTTTTCTAGTTCTGTGAAAAATACCATTGGTAGCTTGATAGGGATTGCATTGAATCTATAGATTGCTTTGGGTAGTATAGCCATTTTGACAATATTGATTCTTCCAATCCATGAACACGGTATATTTCTCCATCTGTGTCCTCTTTGGTTTCTTTCATCCGTGTTTTATAGTTTTCTATGTATAGGTCTTTTGTTTCTTTAGGTAGATATACTCCTAAGTATTTTATTCTTTTTGTTGCAATGGTGAATGGTATTGTTTCCTTAATTTCTTTTTCTGTTTCCTATATGCAAAACAGAAAAAGAGACACAAATGTACAGAACAGAATTTTTGACTCTGTGGGAGAAGGCGAGGGTGGGATGTTTCGAGAGAACAGCATCGAAACATGTATATTATCTAGGGTGAAACAGATCACCAGCCCAGGCTGGATGCATGAGACACGTGCTCCGGCCGGGTGCACTGGGAAGACCCAGAGGGATCTGGTGGAGAGGGAGGTGGGAGGGGGGATCGGGATGGGGAATACATGTAAATCCATGGCTGATTCATGTCAATGTATGACAAAAACCACTACAATACTGTAAAGTAATTAGCCTCCAACTAATAAAAATAAATGGGGAAAAAGGATACATTGAGGAAAAGTGGCCTAAGCTCTTCTATATAGACTCAAAAGATATATGATCACACAGTTTTTTTAAGCTTTTTTTTTTTTTTTAAGGATGTCAACTCAAAGCAGGAATGAGGTATGGGCCTGGGCGGGCAGGAGAGACCCCTTGTGGCTAGCCCTGCTGCCCAGGGTGGGGGCTGCTGACCCTTCCTCTCCCTGCAGGTGGTGCTGTTGCCGGATGGGAGTGCCCGGGCGCGTCTGTGTCGCAGGAGGTCCGCACATGCACCATGTCATCATGCATCTCTAGCCAGCCCAGCAGCGACCGGGCCGCCCCCCAGGATGAGCTGGGGGGCGGGGGCGGCAGCAGCAGCAGCGAAGGTCAGAAGCCCTGTGAGGCCCTGCGGGGCCTCTCCTCCCTGAGCATCCGCCTGGGCATGGAGTCCTTCATCGTGGTCACCGAGTGTGAGCCCGCCTGCGCCGGGGACCATGGCCTGCCCCGGGACCGGCCCCTGCAGGCCCATGGCGGAGAGATCACCCTTGACGACTCTGGGTCTCAGGCCCGGCCCCACATCTCCAGTCGCAAGCTCTCTCTGCAGGAGCGGTCCCTGCTGGATGCCAATGGGCGCTGCGTCTGCCCCGCACTGCCCCACTCGCCAGTGGGCTCCCCGCAGTCCTCGCCGCGGCTGCCCCGGCGCCCCACGGTGGAGTCACACCACGTCTCCATCACTGGGATGCAGGTGCGTGAGCGGCGGCCCCTGGCGCCCAACCCTGCGCCCGGAATGTCTCTGCCTTGGGCTGGGGTCCCCAAGAAGGATCCCGGTGCAACCAGTTGATTGGAAAGGCTACCCTAGGAAACCCAGAGAGATGTCAATAAAACATACATGATGGAGCCAGTTACCACTGTGGACAACTGGGGCCCCCCCTGTGGACAGCCCTATGGGACAGTGTAGGACAGGAGGCCCAGACTTATTCCACTTGAGGGCTAGGGAGCTGGGCCTTTTACACCAGCTTCTGGCAGTCCCTGGACAGAGCATCTCCTGGCCAGAGAGAGCCTCTATCAAAGAGACCCTCATGATGGCAGTTAGAAGTTGTGCCAGGGACTCTGGAATGGGGCTGACGGGTCAGTGGGAGTCCTTGGCACTGTAAGTGCCCTTCTCCCATGATTTTTACCATAAACTTCTGAGAGGTGGGTTGAAACTCAGATCCCCAGCTGGTTCACAGGGCCTGATCCACCCCTACCCCACCTCCTGCCCTAACTCCTACCTTTGTACTGCCAACTCAGGGCTCCAACCTTACCCACTTCTTTGTCTTCCTCAGATGTCCAAGCTCATTCGCTCCCTTAGGCCTTTATCTTCTTGTGCCCTCTGATTGAAACCTCTCCCTCCTGCAAATCTCTTCAAGGCCACCTCCGTCTGGCTTCCAAATCTCAACTCAGATGTCACCTCCTTGGAAAGGACTCTCAGACACCCCCTCTAAGCAGCCTTCAGCCCCTCTCTGTCCTGTTGACTGTCCTTCATAGCACTTGTCACCATCTGATTATCTGTGTGTCTGTTAAGTTGTTTATTGCCTGTCCCCCTGCCACCCCCAGCTAGGATGTTAGGAACAGTCTTGTTCACCACAGGGTCCCTAGCACCTGGCATGGTGCCTGGTGCATGGTGGCTCAAAAATATTTGTTTAAGGAAGGAATAAATTTAACTGGGAGAAGGCTGGAAATCCGGAATGACATTCTAAAGCAGCTGATATTTAACTGCCTTCTGAGGGCTAGGTAGAATTTTCTCAGTTGTAGATGGGTACACACTGAGAGTTCACTGCAGGGGAGTGAGCACAGCATGAACAAAGACCCCAAGGGAGAAGGCCATTTTTAAATTGTTATTGTTTGTTTCATTTCCTAGTTTATTAACTGGCCACAGGCCACCTAGGTGACAGAGGTAGTCTCATTCCTCTAATATTTCAGTTTTAAAAATATGATTACCATAATCCAGCTAAGTACAGCTATGTACACCAACATATTTCTTTTCCATAGAATTCAGGATAGGTTGGGGATTCAGTTAGCGAGAGTGTGGGAACCCAAAGGGGAACACTGTGGCAACAAGGCTGGAGGGAGAATTTCAGTTTATATCAGCTTAGAGAAACAAATTGTGGCTTTAACACAATAAGGCTTATTTATCATGTAAAATAAATGCATAGGGCTAGACACTGGGTATTGGTGAGATGATTCTGTTGTTGCTTTGGGCCTTAAAACCTCATGATGTTAAGATGGCTGCTGTGGCTCAAGCCTTCACAGCTCCATTCCAGGCAAGAAGAATGAACAGGGAAGAAAGGCATGAGCTGTCTGCCTCCTGAGTCAATCCTCTTTCTTGGAAACTCTACCCAGCAATTTCTGCCTGTCTCACAGTAGCCAGAACATAGTGACATGGCCACCTTAGGTGTAAGACAGGCTGGAAAACTACATTTTCCACCCAGTGTTGCCACCCAGTCTTCCAGTTATAAAGAAAAAAGGAGAGACTCGTATTTGGTGGGCAGCTACGTATCTCTGCAAGGTCAGCGCTTTCGAGGGTCTGAAGGGCAGACCATGAAGTCAGGACTTGACCCTGGAAGCAACAGAGAGCTGGGCTGATGTGGTCAGAGTGGATTCTTGAAGATGAATTTAGCAGTATGTGGGGGTTGGATTCAAAGGCAGTGAGACCCCCTAAGATGGCTCTGCAGGGCCCCACCTCTGCCTGTCACATCCCTTCAGTACTCGGGGGAATGAAACCGTACTGGAGAAAAACATAAAACAGACTAAAAAGCCCACCAGTTAGGGGAGAGCTCTGTGGGCCTGACCTGGCCAGGTCAAAGATACAGGTCTGACGTGGAACTACCTCCAGTTAAAGGAAGTTGAGAGCTGATGTAGTGTGATACTGTTTAGGCCTCCCCTAACCCCATCCCAAAACAGTACTCTGTATTTTCTGCAGGTGCATGTATGCGTGCATGTACACAGAAAAAGACCTGGAAGTTTATACATCAAACTGATATCAAGGTTCGGGGAGAGGGATAGAATTGGGGCTTGGGAGGGGGTTCAAGGGAAAGTTGGGCTTCTCTGCAACAGTTGATGTTTTGCTATCTATCATGTTTCTCTTCCCAGTTTCCTATATCACGTAACATTTTCCCCCTGACTCTACTGAGGTATAATTGAAGTGAGATAAACTGCACATATTTCAGATATGCAGTATGGTCAGTTCTGATGTATGTATACATCTGTAAAACCATCACCCCTATCAAGATCCCAGACCTTTCCAGCACACCCAGCAATACATCCCTCCCCCACTTCCCCTTTCACAGGTACCCGCTGACTTGCTTTTGATCATTATAGATTAGCTTTCAAGTTCTGGAATTTTATATATGTGGAATCATTTAGTACGTACTCTTTTTTTTTTTTTTTTTGCTTAGCTTCTTTCATGGCATAGTGATTTTCGTGATTTATCCATGTTTTTGCACAAACCAGTAGTTAGTTCCTTTTATTGCTAAATAGTATTGGACTGTATGGATATACCATGGCTTATCCATTTACCTGTTGATGGACATCTGGATGGTTTCCAATTTTTGACTACTATAAATAAAGCTGTTGTGAACATTTGTATACCCGTCTCTACATAGACACGGGTTTTCCTTTCTTTTGAGTAAGCACCTGGGTCATATGGGAAATGCCCGTTGAGAAGTTTTGCCAAACTGTTTTCCAAAGAGGCTGTACCTTTTAAATTCCCACCACCAGCCTCTGAAAGTTTCATTTGCCCTACATTCTAACAATACTTGGTTTGGTTAGTCTGTTTTACTTTAGCCAGTTTGGTGAATGTGGTTTTAATTTGCCTTTCCCTGATGAGTAATGACGCTGAGCATCTTCTCATGTGCTTATTGATCATTTGTGTATCTTCTTTAGAGAAATATAAAATCTTTAGCCTTTTTTTTTTTTTTTTTTGCTGATGTGTTATAGGAGTTCTTTATATATTCTGACTACCAGTCCTTTGAATATGTATTCCAATTCATTTCTCTCAGTCTGTGGCTTGCCTTTTGTTTTCTTAGTAGTGTTTCAAAGAGCAAAAGTCTTACTTTTGATTGAAATCCAATTTATCATTTGTTTCCTTTTATATTTTGCACTTTTTGTACAAAAGAGACCCTTTCAGAAACTGTTAAGAAACCTTTCTCTGTCCTAACGCCATTCAGATTTTCTCCTCTTGTATCACTTTGCATTTTTTTTACAGAATAGCACAGTTATGGATTATTGTTTAATTTTACCTTAACTTTTAAAAAATAGGTAAATAAAATGAACTTTTGAAAAGTGGGAAGAACCTTTAAAATGGGTATTAAAAGAGTACATACTATATGATTACACTCTCATAATGTAAAAAAACTGTGCTGGTAGAGACTTCTCTGGAGGTCCAGTGGTTAAGGCTCCATACTTCCAGCGGGCACAAGTTCAATCCCTGGTTGGGGAACTAAGCTCCCACGTGCTTCATGGCATGGCCAACAACTGTGGTGCTAGAAGTCAGGATAATGGTCACCCTGGACAGGGGCCAGCATATGGGAGATGCTTTTGGGGAGCTAGGAATGTTCCCTTTTTTGACTTGGATTCTGGTTAAGGCATTTGTTTGTGAAAAATGTATCTTGCTACGAATTTACAATTCATATTCTGTGCGTTTCTACTTACTTTCCAGGACTGTGTACAGCTGAATCAGTACACACTGAAGGATGAGATTGGAAAGGTAACTATCCCAGGAGACAGGCTGGTTTTCCATACCTACCAAGGATGTCTTGGATACTGTGGCTCTGCCCCACTAGAACTGGGAGTGAGCGAGGAATCCCTGGAGAACAGGCTGGGAGGGGGAGGGTTTTGTTATTAACTGTCCGTCTGTTTTGCTTTATTTTGTTTTATTTTTACATCAGACTGTGTTTCTGTAAAAGCTCACAAAGCTTCCAGAGTAATTCTGTATCACCAGCATTGGTGTTGGGTTTTTTTTCCTTCTTAAGGTATTCTCATATCTGTTTTTGCTTTTACATCAGCATCAAAAGTATCAAGTGGACAGTATCAATGGACAGTATCAAAATTCAAAAACTCAAATGCCAATAGAGAGCAAGTGAGGTAATACAAGTGAAAAAAGCATGCTAAGTATAATATATTATACAATAGGGAGTATACATATGTATATGTATATGTATATACATATACATATATATACATACAATACATACAATATGTATCTATACATATACAATAGTATATGTATTATACAATAGGGAGTGGTGAGGACTGTGGCAAACTGTTAACACATGGGAATGAGTATGACTCCATATCCACATCAGAATCTGGATTTTTATATCTGAACTGTTTTACATGTTGGCCATTAATTCAAACATTCTAAAAACCAGAGTTTCAACACAATACAGGGCAGATTTTGCCAGTAGGCTACCAGTTTGTCACCTCTGTATTAGGGTCCTTATTTTGTGGATCATAATTTCTAGATACTGTGTCACGGGCATCTCCCTTTCTCTAGGGCTCGTATGGCGTGGTCAAGTTGGCCTACAATGAAAATGACAATACCTACTACGTGAGTATCCACATCCTCCTCCTGACCCTCCTCCTTGTCCATAGAAAAGGCCTCCTATCCAGAACTTGGTTTTCTGGAAGGTTTTCTTAGCTGTTGTCTTATTCTATTCTTACGTCATGTTTATTTTGTGCATTAGGAAGGAAGTGGGGAAGTGGGGAGGTGAAGTGATTGGCTCAGGAAGATTGAGTGAATAAATTCCGCATATATCTCATATCCTTTCTCTGGGCTGCCCTTTCTACATCCTCCATAGCACCAAGAACTAAGTGGTCATGAGATAAATTGCCCTTGTTTCTGAGGCTTTGGAATCAGTCCAGTGTGGGTTCATATCCTGACTCTCCCATGTGCCAGATGTGTGTCCTTGGGCAATGACCTAAATGCTAAACATCAGTTTCTCCACATATGAAATATCCCTTGCCCATCACGCCAGCTCACTCATGTCTTGATTCAGTGGTAGCCAATCCCAGGGCTTGTGGTCTCCCAGTTGGGAGAGCTGATCTGGAACCTTAGAAGTACCCTCTAGGCTAGAGGGACCCTGAGAGTCCAGCCTCCACATAACCCGTGGAGTTGACCCATTCCAGTGGCAAGGTGCTCACTACATGGTCCCAAGGCTGCTAATGCGCCGAGAGCTTGGGCAGGCTCAGGAGTAGAAGGAACTCTCCCTCCATCCTCCTCTCCATTTTAATCAGGATGTGGGGTCTTTTCTCCCACAGGCAATGAAGGTGCTGTCCAAAAAGAAACTGATCCGACAGGCGGGCTTTCCACGTGAGTTTGTCGGGCCAGGGCCTTTGTTTTTAGGGGCAGAGGCTGGGGCAAGACAGGGAAGACTCACTGAATGGTGTCCCCTGCAGAGTGTGCCCTGGGTGGATTCCCCAAAGACAGTGCTGGGCCTCTGGCTGAGGTTTTTTAAAATTCATTTTCTTGTAAAAACATTTATGAAAGGAATATAGGTTTCAAGTAAAAACAAATCCGTTAGAGGAAAACAGTCTGGCGGTTCCTCAGAAAGTTAAATGTACTATTACCATATGACCCAACAATGCTACTCTTGGGCATATATACCCAAGAGAACTAAAAACACTCAGTCACACCAGCTCATACATGAAGGCTCATAGCAGCATGATTCAAACTAGCCAAAATGTAGAAGCAATCCCAAATGTTTGTCAGTGGATGAATGAGTAAACAAAAGGTGGTCTGTCTAGCCAATGGAGTATTAGCCATAAAAGGGATGAAATTCTGATATATACCTCAACACAGATAACTTTGAAAACATACTAACTGAAAGAAGCCAGACACAATAGGCCATATATTGTATGATTCCACTTACATGAAATGTCCAGAATAGGTAAATCCAGAGACAGAAAGCAGATGAGTGATTTCTAGAACCTGGGGTTAAGAGGGAGTTGGGTATGACTGATGATAGATATGGGTTTTTGGGGTTTTTTTGGGGGGGGTGGGGCCGTTGAAAATGTTCAGGACTTAGTGGTGATGGTTGCAGAACCTTGTGAACGTACTAAAAAGCATTGTATTACGCATTTTAAAATGCTGAGTTTACAAAGTTTAATTACCATAAGGTATTTCCGTTATATCTACAACATGCAAAAGAACAGAAGGATGTATAATGGAGGTCACAAATTTCTTGCTGTACTCCTCCCTCTCTCTATAGGCACCCCACCCACCACTTTTAGCTCTTTTAGGAGCTGGTAATTACTGCATGTGATCGGGTGTAGGTGAGCATATCAGAGGCTGCTCCAGCATAAGCTCCCTGCCAGTGGAGCTGAGCAAAATGTCTGCTTGAGCCAAAAAGAGAAAGTAGAAAAATGTAAATCCCCCAACCCCACCCTGTCACTACCAGGACCCTGATCCTGCTTACCTGAACTCTGAGCCAGATAATATCCTTATGTCATTATTTCTTGATTTATTAATTTCTGACATTTACTTCTGACTTCCTCTGAGGACAGCTTAAACCAGTCCTTTCTCCTCTGTCTTCCCAACTGGGCACTGAGGTGATGCCAGGATGTTCAGCTCCCTTGTTGTTACTGCCATTGTCACTTTCCTTCTTGTTCCAGCAGATGCAGCAGGTTTCTTTCCTTTGAACTTGCCTTTCCTTGGTCCACATCCCACTTCTGATACGTGTACCTCGGCTTTTACTTTTCAAGGCTGACACATTTACATTCAGTTCTGTTAGTCACATTTAGATCCTTACTTACATGTAATAGGGCTTCCCTGGTAGCTCAGCTGGTAAAGGATCCACCTGCAATGTGGGAGACCTGGGTTTGATCCCTGGGTTGGGAAGATCCCCTGAAGAAGGGAAAGGTTACCCACTCTAGTATTTTGGCCTGGAGAATTCCATGGACTGTATAGTCCATGGGGTCACAAAGAGTTGGACAACTGGGCAAATTTCACTTTCACTTTTCACTTACATGTAATATGCAGTGTAAGTGTTTGCACTGTGGACCTTTCCATCATTGTGACCTTCTGACTATCAGTCACTACTGGGCCAAGCAAGTTCTTTTTTTTCCTCTCATCAGTTCTTACTTCTTTTCCTATCCCTGACTTTTTTTATCTCCTCTATTTCCACGTGAGTTGTGGAGGCAAGGGATAATATTTTTGTTCCTCTTATGGAGTGGGAATACCGAGCCCCAGAGAGGGAATGTTGAGATTGCTCCACTAGGCCCCAGACTTCTTTTCCTTGTACCTCAGTGAACTTTTGATGCTCACTGTAACCTGGAGCATGGGACAGGAAGAGGAGAATTAACCGAAGGCTGGGCAAGGGAACTGGGTCTCCAGCCTCATTAGTTTCTAGCATCAGAGAAGACAGATGAAAAGAAGGCTGATTAAAGCCCCTGGTGGCATCAGCCACTCCAGTCTTTCTGAGACTGACCCCTCCACCCCAAAATTGTCCTGCCTACAGTCCCCCTCTGCAGAGGAGTCTCTTTGTCCTGACTCTGGGATGGTTCATGTTTCCTCCAGGTCGCCCCCCTCCCCGAGGTACCCGACCAGCCCCCGGGGGCTGCATCCCGCCCAGGGGCCCAATTGAGCAGGTATACCAGGAAATTGCCATCCTCAAGAAGCTGGACCACCCCAACGTAGTGAAGCTGGTGGAGGTGAGATGAGGGGGACACGGAGGAGGGAGGGAGGAAGGGAGATGGTCCAGCCTTGGCTCTGTGATTACCAAAGTGCAGCACCACTGGTTCCCAGGGAGAGCCACGTCACATCCAGCAGCCTGTCTCAGGGCTGAGTGGTGGTTACTTCTCCAGGCTCCTTCACCCTGTCATTGCGTGTAATCCTCGCCCCTTGCTTAGACTATTTATTACTCCCATTTTACAGATGAAGGAATTGAGGCTCAGAGGAGTACTGAGACTTGCCCTTTACCTGTTTGTCTTTTTGGAGCTAGTTCTTTTTCTACTACACAAATGTCGTAGCACAAAAGCAGCCGTTTGCCTATAAACAAATGTGCCTGGCTATGTTTTGATAAAATTTATAAAACTGCTCTAGATCAGCATTTCTCATGCTTTTTGGTCTCCAGACCTTTTTATGCTCTTTTTTTTGAAGCACTTATTAAAAAATTTATTTTTAATTGGAAGATAGCTGCTTTAGTCCGTGCAGTCACAAAGAGTCAAACACGACTGAGTGACTGAACTGAACTGAATTGCTTTACAATGTTGTATTGGCTTCTGCCATACAACAATGTGAATCAACCATGAATATACATAAAGTCCCCGCCCTCTTGAACCTCCCTGCCACCCCATGCTCTTAAAAATAATTGAAGATTGCAAAAACCTTTTGCTTATGGGGGTTATATTTATTAATATTTATCACATTAGGATTAAAATTGAGAAGCTAAAAAAATATTTTTTAATTCATTTAAAATCAACAATAATCCTATTACATTACTTTGATTTTTTAAAAAAAGAAAAATAACAGAACTCTAGATAGGCAAGTGCCTGGGTCTGACTTTTCCTAGAAGGGCAGGGCTTAGGGGTTCCAGGTTGGCTGTCCCGGGCCTCTGCCTCGGGTGCATCCCTTTTTCAGGGTTCTTGTCCTATGACTCTTGGGTGACTGGGGAAGTTGAGTATGATGTGTCAATAGGTGGGAGGATCAGTCTAGCCCAGGAGCCTGCCTTTGTTTCTTCCCAAGAGGAGAGATGGCAGTTGTAGGCCATCTCCATCTGTCACAACAAATTCACAATTTCAACCCTTGGATGCTTGAGTTGCCGTCCTAGAGAAAACGGGCGCTTGGTTGGTGTGTGTGTTGGGTCTTGGCGGGATCTCCCTTCTCCTTCATGCCTTGTGGTGTGTGGGCTCCCAACAAGACCCTTTGACAGCTTGCCTGTTCGTTCACTCATCAGACATTCCCCGAGCATCTGCTAGGTCCCTAGTCGTGTACAGGGCACCATGGAGGCAGCCGAGGTGGATGCAACCTGGTGCCTGCCCTTTGAAGAGAGGAAGATAGAAATTGTGATAAGGTGAAAACAGGAAGGCTGTGAAAGAAAGAAGGCACTGCAGCAGTTCCAGGCAGGAGGACATCATTTCCTGCTGGGACAGGGAGATGGGGACAGAATTTGAATTTTGACAATTCTGACAAATTTGACATTGTCTCCTAGGAGACAAGTGGGATTCTTATTCAAGCTGAGACATTTTCCAGGGGAGGAATCTGCCCCCTCCCTTATGTAACCTCCTTTCTAGGTGCTTTGGAAAACCCTTGAAGATTGGGCTAGAAAGCGCTTATTTTCCAGATGGCCATTTGGATCACACTTTCCTGTGCCCTTTATCTTAACTGGGAAAAACAGTGGAAAGCACAGCCCTCCCGTTGGCAAGTGCAGTCATGTGGATGCTGCTTCCTCCCTGCTCATGTCTTTTTTTTCTCTCTCTTCCTCTCCCCTGCTCCTCATCTCCGGCCTGTTCCATGCGGCTGTGCCAACAGGTCTTGGATGACCCCAATGAGGACCATCTGTACATGGGTAAGAGAGCGCTTGCCTTCTGCCACCCTTGCTCAGGCAGCTACGCCTCCCACAGCCCAGGGGTACTCTCCATCCAGCCCCTGCGCCTGGTACCTCCCACCCTTTCCTGCTCCAGCGGGCCCCACACAGAAGGCTGCACCCTAGGTTTAAAGCAGGAGGTGGAAAGGAGTTCTTCCTGGGACTTTATCTGGGTGTCCTGTTCATCTGTCTTCTGATATCTGTTGAGTACCTACTGTGTGCTGGGTACCGTTCTAGGCACTAAGGATGCAATGATGAGTAAGAAAGATGAAGCTGGTGTTCTGATCAGGGAAAACAGCCAGTCAACAACTATAGTTGGCCTTCTGTGTCTGCAGGTTCTGCATCTGTAGATTCAATCACCTGTGGATCAAAAATATTACAAAGAAAAAATTCCAGAATGTTCCCCAAAGTAAAACTTGAATTTGGCACAGACTGGCAACTGTTTACATAGCATTTACATTGTCTTAGGTGTTATAAAGTAATCCAGAGATGATTTAAAGTATAGGGGAGATGTGTGTAGGTTATATGCAACTACTACACCATTTTACATAAGGGACTTGAGCAACTGTGGATTTTGGTATCCACAGGGTTCCTGGAACCAATTCCCCATGAATACCAAGGGATAACTGTAAATAAAGCAGATGAACAACTTCAGACTGATGCTCTGAAGAAGATTAAACAGGGTGATGTGAGAGAGAGAGAGATGGAGGGGCCACTGCAGATAGGAGGTGAGCATTTAGCACCTGAATGTCGAGGACTCAGCCCTGTTACATCTGGGGAAGAGCATTCCAGATAGAGCAAACAGCAGGTGCAAAGGCCCCAAGACTGGTGACAGCTTAGTGTTTAAACAATGTGGCTGCAGGAGAGAAAACCAGGAAGGGAGGGAAGGTGAGGATGGAGGGCCTGGGGTGGGGGTGGGTAGCCATGGTGGGGCATTTGGAGCCTTGAGGAGCTGTTGAAGGGTCCTGCACACAGACCTGGAAGGACTCAGGTATGTCCTCAGAGACCTTATTTTTAAAAAATGATAGGGACGCAGGGCAGCGCTCAGTTCTCAGTATAAGCACTGATGAGGGAGGGAAGAGCAAGACTCATGCAAAGCTGGACAGCAGACTATCAGGCCGTTAGGCATGATCAACAGGTCACGTGTCCCAGTGATGTGTGGCTGGGGGAGGCATTCAGACAAGCTTGTGTATTTCGAGTGGGTACAGATGACAGTCGGGAGGGGTATCAAGGAGATGAGTGGTGTGGGCAGGGCCAAGCCCAGCCCAGAATCCAGATGTCTCCTGGATGAGCACAGCACGATCCTTTGCTGCACAGGGAGTGATGAATCATAAAGTAATGGGTCTGGTTTGGAACTGGAGCTCAGAGCTCAGTTTCCCCTAAAGCAGTTGCTATGGTTTCATTCTAAGGATGCTGTTGTTGCTTAGGACATTTTATTTCTCTTGCCCCCACCCAGGTATTTGTTTGTTTTTTAAATTTGGCTGTGCTGTGTCTTAGCTGTGGCATATGGAATCTAGTTCCCTGACCATAGCGTTGAATCTGGGCCCCCTGCATTGGGAACTCAGAATCTTAGCCACTGGACTACGAGGGAAGTTCCCTCACCCAGGTTTTATTATGAAAAATGTTAAAGTTGAAAGAAGAGTACAGGGAATACCTGTTTACCTATCACCCAGATTCAATAGTTAGTAACTTTTTGTCATATTTGCTTTATCAGTCTAGCCACCCACCCATCCATTTCTCTATTTTTTTTTTCTGAACCATCCAAAAGTAAAGTGGCAGACATCCTGACACATTAGTTCCCAAAAACTTTAGCCTGCATCTCCTAGTCACTTCAGTCATGTCTGACCCTTTGCCACGCTATGGGCTGTAGGGACTTCCCTGGTAGTTCAGTCGGTAAAGAATCTGCCTGCAATGCCGGAGACCTAGGTTCGATCCCTGGGTTGGGAAGATCCCCTGGAGAAGGAAATGGCAACCCATTGTAGTATTCTTGCCTGGAAAATCTTAGGGACAGAGGAGCCTTGAAGGTTATGTCCACGGCATGTTGCAAGAGTTGGACATGACTTAGCGACTAAACCATCACCACCATGGACTGTAGTCTGCCAGGCTCCTCTGTCCATGGAATTCTCCAGGCAAGAATACTTGAGTGGATTGTCATGCCTTCCTCCAGGGGATCAACCCAGGGGTTGAATCCATGTCTCTTACGTCTCCTGCATTGGCAGGTGGGTTCTTTACCTCTCGCGACACCTGGGCAGCCCTCGCAATACCACAATACCATTATTGCACCTGAAAAGTTAATGCCCATTCTTTAGGAGCATCTAGTGTGTAGGTCGTCTTCAAATTGTAGAACGTTAAAAACCTTCCTTTAGAAACATTTTAGAAGTACACAATAAATACCATTAGATATGAAAACTTTAAAAAATTGTGAAACATTCGTATAAAAATATGAACATCACAGAATCACAATTTCTCAATGTGGTACCCGTACCACTTTAAATATATGAGACAGGAGGAACTTCCTGATGGTCCACGGGTAATGAATCTGCCTGTTGGTGCAGGGGACACAGGTTTGATCCCTGGCTCCGGGAATGTCCACATGCTGCAGGACAACTAAGCCCATGTGCCCCAACTACGGAGCTTTTGCTCTAGAGCATGTGCTTTGTAACAACAGAAGCCACCACAATGAGAAGCCTATGCACCGCAACGAGGAATAGCCCCCGCTTGCTGCAACGAGAGAAAGCCTCTGTGCAGCAATGAAGACCCAACACAGACAAAAATAAGTAAAATTTTAAAAGAAAGATGATTTGAAAAAAATAAATATATGAGATCATTTTAGGTGGTATATGGACAACCATTTTTAAAACATTTTTAAGACTTATTTTACCATTTGTATAGGAAAAACTATAACCAGCACACTAAATTCATGATTTCATAGGTTTTATTACCTGAGATAAGACTAAAAGTTTTCATACTAAATCAATTTAAAAGTGTGAAATAAATGATTGTTTACATAGTATATAGATATAGCCTGATTATAACCATGGTAGGCAAACGAGTGAAATTTGGGGGAACACAGAAGAAAGCACAAAATATAAAAGGTCATTTGGGGCCCAGAATGGCATCCCCAGCATTGTTCGCTCACCTGAGGCCCCAGACCTGACTCTGAATGGCTTTGAACTGTTTTTGAGGAGGTAGGTTGTCCATTCAACAAACGTCACTGTTTGTCAGGCCCTGATCTAGGCTCTTCAGGGAATGAAAAACCCCGGCCCCACACCCTCAGGGCATTTTAGTGCTCTGATGGGGGCAGATGGATACACTCAACCTAAGTATTACTAGGCATAGGCTTCAAAGGTGACAGCTGTGCTGTGTGTTTAGTCATTTAGTCATGTCCAACTCTTTGTGACCCTGTGGACTATACAGTCCGTGGGATTCTCCAGGCCAGAATCCTGGAGTGGGTAGCCATTCCCTTCTCCAGGGGATCTTCCCAACCCAGGGATTGAACCCAGGTGTCCCACAATTTGCAGGCAGACTCTTTACCAGCTGAGCTACCAGGGAAGCTCGAAGGTGACAGCACCATGGACAAAAGCTAACCTGAGCAGGGTCAGGGGAGTCAGGAGTTCCAGGTTGGAGGCTTGGAAAACAGTGGCTCCTGGGATGCCTCACAGAGGTGAGACCTGTGCAGGACCCTGGGAACCAGATGGCAGAGAGCATTTCACATCATTGTAAGACTTTGCCTTTTTACTCTGAGAGAGAAGGGGGCTCTTGGAGGACGTTTTTTTTTTTCTTTTTAATATTTATTTATTTGGCTGTGTTGGGTCTTAGTTGTGGCATGCGGGCTTCTTTAATTGTGGCACGTGGGTTTAGTTGCTCCATAGCACATGGGATCTTAGTTCCCTGACCGGGGATTGAACCTGCATCCCCTGCATTGCAGGGCTGATTCTTAACCACTGGACTTCCAAGCATGACCCCCTTGGAGGGTACTGAGCTGAGGAGTTGAATGACTATGTAAAGAACATGACTCAAGCTTCCAAGAGGAGTTGCCTAAGCTATTTGGACCAGGCAGCTTCATGGACAGAGTTTTTCACTTCTTGAGGTGGCAAAGTGGGAAGGAGCCGTGTGGTTTTGGTGTATTGATTCCAGTGATTTTGAAACTATCCCAATAACTTTATTTTTTAGTTTCCAGCCATAGCTGTGTGTGGCTAGGGCAGAGTGGGCAGTGTGTGAAGCCAGTTAGCAGATATCGGCAAGGGTTCTGTACCTGCAGGCCTGACTCTCAGAGGGTAGAGAACATGATCAGTATTTCTCGGGGTTAAAAACTTCCCACCTGCCACTCAGTCCCAGGAGGGGTTGAACTGTGAACACTTGAAAATACACCTGTTTCAACAGGCCAGCTTCCCTCATGCCAACTGAGTTTTGGTGCTTGGGAGGAAGCATTGAAATTCATGAAGCAGCTCTTGAAAGTTAAGTTTACAAGGTGGGAAAGCAGGAGCTGAGGGGCCCAGGGCTCCTCTTGGTGGGAGCCTTACCTTCATAGCCTTTGCCTTTGCTTCTAACCACAGCCTGAAGCCACAGCAGATTTGCCCTAACTCAGGTTTGGCCATTGCTGGTTGATGAACCTGAAAACAGGGTGGGGCCCTGGGGGAGTTAAGTTCCTTTTCTGATTTGAACCTTTAAGCCTTTTTGTCTGAGGAACTGGCTCTTTCTCTTTGGCTGTCTCAGCCCTTGGACAGCTTTGAAATACCCCTTCTTCCGTAAGAAGCTCCAGTGTGTGCTTCTAGAAAACAGAAAACTCCAAAATCATTTTCCATGGGACTTTGAAATCCACTGTGCTGTTTTTTTCATTTCCTAAAGTACAGCTTCATAGTCCCAGTTATATCTGTTCAAGCAGAACAAAATTAAAATAGCTACGCCACATGACCTGACAATTCCGCTCCTAGGTACCCCCAAAGAATTGAAAACAATCATACATAAACACTTGCGCAGGAATGCTTATGCATGAATGTTCATAGCAGCATTATTCATAATAGCCAAAATGTGGAAATATTTTCCCAGCTGTTCATCAGCTGATGAATGGGTAAACAAAATGTAGCATATCCACACTATGGGATATTATACAGCCATAAAAAGGAAGAAAGTACTGATACATGCTACAATGTGGATGAATTCTGAAAATATGCTAAGTGAAAAAGCATGTTATCAGGGGTCACTTATTGTATGAGTCAGTGTATATGACATGTCCAGAATAGGCAAATCTATAGAAACAGAAAGCAGATTAGTGGTTGCCAGGGGCTGTGGGAAGGGGTTTGGGGAGTGACTACTAATGGGCACAGGGTTTCTTTTTAGGGGACTGAAAATATGCTGGAATTAGATAGAGGTGATACTTGCCCTGGAGGCAGTGGACTGCTAGATACCACTAAATCATGCACTTTAGAATAGTTGTATGTTCTGAAATTTCACCTCAACTTTTAGAAATGCAAAAAATACTGCCCCCCTCCAACAACAAAAACCCCATGCATTCCCTGAACGTAGTGTATTTAATACTTGATGGTGAGGCGGGGGATCCCACATACACAGGGCTGTGAGAAAGCTAGCAGGCAGTGAATCAAGAAAGGCCCTGTTTAGGAGGAACAGAATCAGCTGGCCTTTGAGGTGGTGGGGAGATCACCATCCCCACCTCTAGCTCCAAGTCTTGATTTGATTCGAAGTCACAGGTTTGAGGGCCAGCTGGCCACAGAGTGCTAAAGAGCTGGCACAACATTATCCAACAATTCTTGGTTTACGTGGCCTGACACAGCCTAGCAGCTTGGAAGATGTGAGAGGGGTCATTGAAACTTGTTCTTGAACTGAAACTTTGCTAGGGTTCAGAAGACCCCAGGGCTGCTGATTTTGTGTCCACGTAAATCCACATTTGGGCTATTGCCTCTTAGACCTGTTCTTTGTTAGGTCTGGCTCAGGACGTGGATGAGTGACAGGACATAGTTTAGCATCAGTCATATCCCTGGGACTCCTCTCCCACACCCAGGTATGAGAAGACAATGAAAGAGGCTGTCCCCACCTGTTTCCAGTCTCCCTGCTTTGTCTCCTCTGGCAGAGGGTCGTCAGCTGTTTTGAGGACCAGACATATAGCCAGCCTGGGGTCCCAGGGACACCAGAAATCTCTGACCCCTAGCCTCCTGATGGGAACTTAGAAAAGCAGAACCTTCTGTGGTTTTGTTTCAGTGGACTGTTCCCCTCCCCAGCCCCCATGTTAGTTTCAGTGCTTCTCAGTGTTTCTAGGGGTGGTTGGGAGCTGGGGAGGAGGGGAGGAAGATGGATTTTCATTTTCCCAGTGTAACCATTCACCCCCTTCTCTATCCTACAGTGTTTGAACTGGTCAACCAAGGGTGAGTGTCCCCATTCCCAGCAGGTATGGGGCCCGAAGCTTCTTGAGCTGCAAAGCTGAATGAGGTGGTAGGAGGGGGCCAAGGCTGGTGTGTCTGGTTTGCTTTTCATGCGTGTGTCGACCTTTCAGGCCTGTGATGGAAGTGCCCACCCTCAAACCACTCTCTGAAGACCAGGCCCGTTTCTACTTCCAGGATCTAATCAAAGGCATCGAGTACTGTAAGCGGGGCCCACAGGAGGACTCTCACCCAGGGGGTGGTTAGCGTTCCCAGATAGTGGATGGAAAGTGGAAGGTTTCTTACTTCCCTCCTGGAGCACAGGGAGGTGGGCAGGAAACAGAACTGCCTGAGCTATGGCGACACCCCCTCCAAGCAGAAACCCTTCTTCTGGCCACACAGAAGAACTAAGAACAATAGTGTTAGCGACTGTTTATCCAGTTCTTTCTACCAGGCACTGTTAATTTCCTAGCATCACCCCTTATTCCCAACAACCCTGGGATCCTGTTAACTTCCGGGAACCTTAGTTCCTCATCTGTAAAATTGGAATAAAATATCTTTCACAAGGTCTAAAATCAGCCAGGACATCAGTGTTCTGATTGGCAGGGTGTCCTTTCTGCTACTGGTTGTTAAACATTTTAACTCGTACCCTTTGCCTGTTATTACACAGGATTGTTGTGACACTGAAATGGGGTGAATGGGAAGCACTTAACACAGGGTGAGGGCCCAGTCCTGGCATTCAGTAAAAGCAGCTGCTGCTCCTATTACCAGTATCATCATCATCATCATCACCTCAGAAATGCAGTTGGGTCTTCCAGATTGTAGGATTGTCCTTGCCCATGGGCGGACACCTAGGCAGGAACCATTAGCCAAGTCCCAGTCCTGCTGTGCTTCATACTTCAAATCGGACCTGCTCCAGTCATTGTTGGTTTGGTGAACAGGTTGTGAGGTGGCATTAATAAATGAAAACATGCTTGACTGTCACAAGTTTTGAGGCTTCTAGCTGGGAGCCAAGCTCAGCAAAAACTCTCCATGCACACATGACTTAGACTGTGGCAGGCGGTTACCAATTACTATTGGCAGTCAGTATTTCACGTCTCACTTTGGAGGATGGGAAAGCTTCCTTAGAGACATTTCCCTTAACTTTCAGAGCTGTGGGTGTTTCGCAGGTTTGGGAGGGGAAGGCTGGGAAGGGCCTGGGACCCTGGAAGAACAGAGGGCCTCCTGCCTGTGTCTCAGGGCTGTGTGGGCCACATGGAGCTCTTCATGTGGATTTTCTGTCCCCTCTCTCCCATCCTGCCCCCAGTACACTACCAGAAGATCATCCACCGGGACATCAAACCTTCCAACCTACTGGTGGGAGAAGATGGGCACATCAAGATCGCGGACTTTGGTGTGAGCAATGAGTTCAAGGGCAGCGATGCCCTTCTCTCTAACACTGTGGGCACGCCGGCCTTCATGGCTCCTGAATCGCTCTCGGAAACCCGGAAGATCTTCTCCGGAAAGGTAGGTTTGGACCTGCTTGAGATGTGCAATTCTGCCTGTGTTAGGGTCCTTTCCGTTGTAAGTAGCAAAAATCTAACTCACTGGCTTAAAGAGTGATTTGTGGATGAGGAGTGGGGTTCTTTTGGCCTCAGACTTGGCTAGATACAGAAGTTCAAAGAGGAATCTGTCTCTCCATCTCTCACCTCTGTTTTCCTGAATTGGTTTCCTCCCCAGGTGAACGGGTCATTAGCAACTCTACGCTATTTTCTACCAGTTTACAAGCCTCAGTGGAAAGAGCACTTTTCTTTCTGTAGGACTAAGTGAAAATCCTAGGATTGGCTGTAATTGGCCCAGTGTGGGTCATATGCCCATCCTCGAACCAATCACTGTGCCTGACGAAGTGTTGCTCTGATAGGACAGTTCCGGGTCATGTGCCCATCCTTGAACCAATCATACTGCCTGGGGAAAGTGTCGCTTTCATTGGCCAGGCCTGAATCATGTGCTCAGTCAGATTTGGGGTTTGATGGGCAGGAACAGCCCCATTCAAACTCCCATGGACTGAGCAGTCAAAAAGTGGTGCTTCCCCAAAGGAAAGCTGGAGGATTGGATCCTGGACAGTTGAAAGAAGGTTATGCCCTTTACTGCCCCTTGCCCTTCACACTGGGTTCTCTTTTTCTTGCAGGCACTGGATGTTTGGGCTATGGGTGTGACACTGTACTGCTTTGTGTTTGGCCAGGTAAGGTGGGGTGTCCTGTGTCCTGGGCGTTGTGAGTGGCTTCCTTGGACTAATAGTTACCCTTGCAGGGAGATAGAACTTACTCGTTTAAAAGTCATTTCATTTTATTTCCACAGTTAGATCTGCATATGAAAAAGTGTGCCTTCCCAAATGTACATAGCTGTACATAACAGTCATATCTGTGAAAAGACAACCTGCTAAAACAGGATTTTGGTAGAGGCTTTAGAGGTTATAAATATAGTGGATGAATTTAGGTCAAGGACAGCAAATGTGCACCTCTTTCCACTCCTAAACAGGAGATAGGCATCACTAATCAATAACTGCAATCTTTATTTCTGAGCCCGGTACTGCTTTGATGTTCTTCTCACCAGTGTTCCTAGAAGCTGTTGTTGGAAGAATAGAATTGGAATGGAATTTAAAACATTTGGCATTATTGATTTAGGGAGTGCTATTTGTCTTCATTTTGTTGTTCTTTTGTTATTTTTATATTACTCATATTTAGGGGCTTCTATTTTTAATTCTAAAGTTCAGACTGATTATGTGAGCAGTGAAAGTGAGAATTATTCCTTCTCCTGAGCTTATGCTCCTGTTGAGGAAAGCTTAAGAAATTGATCCCATAGAAGTAAAGGCATTTATAATCTCCTCCCCACAACCCAACATTTGATTAGAAAATGTTCAATCCTGTAGTCAAGTTGTAAGAATTATACCTTCTTACATATGCTTCAGAGTGCAGTCATGAGCCAGAACTATCTGTGGCTTTCTTTTTTTTCTTTTGGGCTAAAATTTACATATCAGGGAATCTACAGATGTTAAAAGTGTACTATTTGATGAGTTGTCAAATGGATACACCTGTGCCATCCTGACATCTCAAGTAATTGTTTTGCATGGCATCATTTTCCTTGGACAGGAGTAGACAAGGTCACTTTCTGTGATCTTTTGTAGCCTTTTGAGCACCCCGCATAAAGGTTTCTTTTTCCGGAACAATGCCTGAGCTCCTCCTGGGTCAGGCCCTTCCCCCTGTGAGAGGATCGATCACCTTGTCACCCAGGAGGTGGTGCATGAACAGGCTTCAGAGTACAGTCTAGGCTTAAATCCCAGTTTCATGCTTCCTAGGACATGGCACCTCTCTGAGCTTCTGGTTTTTCTCTTCTGTAAAGTGAGAATGATATTGACTATTTTAAAATTTATTTATTTATTTACTCATCTTTGGCTGCCCTGGGTCTTCGTTGCTGTGCACAGGTTTTCTCTAGTTGCGGTGAGTGGGAGCTGCTCTCTAGCTGTATCACATGGGCTCAGCAGTTGCAGAATGCTTTCTCTAGAGTGCAGGCTCAGTAGTTGTGACTCACAGGTTTAGTTCCCCTGTGGCATGTGGGATCTTCTTGGACCAGGTATGGAACCCAGGTCTGCTGCATTAGCAGGCAGATTCTTAACCACTGGACCACTACGGAAGTCTAGTATTTGCTATTTTTTATGGCTTTTGAGAGGATCAGCAGAAATAATTCAAGCATTCATTGATTCAGCAGGTATTTATTGAGCCCCTACTTTGTGCCAGGGATGTTCTTGGGCACTGGGTGTCAGCAGTGAGCAAGACAGACAAAAATCCATGCCCTCTGGGAGCTAACATTCCCGTGCAGGAGTTAAACAGTGAATAAACAAATATGGTTTTATGTTTTGGCCACACCATGTGGCATGTGGGATCTTAGTTCCCCAATCAGGGATTGAACCTGTGTCCCTAGCAGTGGGAATGCAGAGTCCTAACCACTGACCACCGGGGAAATCTCCCAAATACATACGGAATATAATGTCAGGAGGGGAGATGCAATGGTGAGAAATCATATGGAGGTGGAGTGGATGTCCATTTTAGACAGGAGCTCTGGAAGACCTCCCTGAGAGGTTGAACTTTGATCAGACACCTAAATGATGGGAGAAAACAAGCCATGCAGATACTGGTGTGAAGAACATTCCAGAGGTGACAGCCAAATGAGATGTTGGTCCTGAGAAACCTCAATACAATGCCTGGCCCAGGCTGAGCCCTCACCAATCACAGCTACAGCTGCTTTGTCTTTTGTATTGTTCTTTGTATTATTAATGTTCACAGGGCAGATGGGTGAAATGAGTGTTTGCCTTTGGTCTTTGCTGTATGGTCTTCCCTGATGGCTCAGATGGTAAAGAATCTGCCTGCAGTTGGGGAGCCCCAGGTGCAATTCCTGGGTTGGGAAGATCCCCTGGAGAAGGGAATGGCTGCCCTCTCCAGTATTCTTGCCTGGAGAATTCCATGGACAGAGGAGCCTGGCGGGCTGTGGTCCATGGAGTCACAAAGAGTCAGATACGACTGAGCGACTAACATTTTATGTAGGTAAATTAAAGCACAGCTATAGGGGAAAGTCAGTGTAGTTAGGAAGGCTCAAACTCTTCTGGAAAGACACTCCTGGTCCTTTTAGATCTCTGGGGAATGGGAACTGCCTCCTCCCTGGACTGGACCACTGGGCTGTTTCTTTCTCTGCTGTGACCTATGTGGAGTGCCACCCGCCCTTGCAGGACAGCTGTGCCAGCCCTTGATGGCCGCTCTGTCCCTGACCTCTCTTCGCAGTGCCCGTTCATGGACGAGCGGATCATGTGTTTACACAGTAAGATCAAGAGTCAGGCCCTGGAATTTCCAGATCAGTGAGTATCCTCCATGTACTGTAAGTCACTACCTTCTCCAAGCCCTTGGTGACCTCTCCTACCCCTGATATATCTCCTCCCCCCAGGCCTGACATAGCCGAGGATTTGAAGGACCTGATCACACGCATGTTGGACAAGAACCCTGAGTCGAGGATCGTGGTGCCAGAGATCAAGGTACCTGCTGCCTCTTGGGGCGTGTGCCAGGGGCTCAGCCTGTGTCCTCTGCTTGGGATTTTTTGGCTCAACCCTGCCTCAGTCAGGCCCCAATTCCTGTTTACAGCGCCACAACCTTTTCTGCACCACCGCCCTCCCATGCCCTGGGGCCTTTGGGGTGCTGGGAGCTGGTGGGGGAGGATTTGGGACTTGTGTTCACTGTGATTGTGGAAGTGGGATCTGCTACCAGCTGGGCAGCTAGCACTTGCTCCACTTGGCTTGGATTGATGGCCTCCACCTCCCCAGACCAGACCAGAGTCTCTGTATGCTCCATTGTGGCTGCCGAAATCTTGGGGTCTATTCCTTGACCCTTCCTATCCCTTTAAGAAAATACAGTGGGTGTGAGAGGAAGTTAGTGAGCAGTTTGACCCTCCACCTCTGACCCTGGCCTGCTGAATTCTGCTATGTTGCAAGAGCAGCATTAGATAAGATCCCTACTGATCCCTTACAGCCACGTGCACACACATGGACCTTTCAGAAATCTAGAGATTTTCTTCAGGAACTCCTAGGCACTCAGCTAACTAGCAGTTGAAGAGGGGGCAGCCCCAAAGGTTACAGATAAAGGCCTTGATCCCAGGGGCAGGTAGTTGAGCAGACCTCTGCCAAAGTCCCCTCCCGATCGTGTTCTTCTCAGTGGTCTCCCTGCGCCACCCTGAGCATCAGTTTCCCTTTCTGTAAAATGGGAAGGATGCTGCCTGCTCTGAACTGAGCTTTCCAGGCATCAGAGAGAGTTGCAGAGGAGTGATGGGTGCTCCTCGGACAACCATGCAAGGCAGATGGCAAATTTGGCTCTTTGTCTTGGCTTGGCTCTTCTGCCAAGACACGGGGCGAGATGGAGAATCCGGTCCGTCTCACATTCTGGCCTCACGGCTCCCTCCCGTTCTCCGCCTGTCTCATGTTTCCTCCCACCTGGCTCACCCCCGCCCTCTGCCTGCCTTGCCTGCCCTCTTGCATCCCTGACCTCAGGCCACTGCCTCTCCCCTCCCGCGTCCCCTCCTTGGCTCTGCTCACAGGCAGGGTCCCTGAGAGCCAGTGGCAACAGCCCCTCACCCCTCCTGTCCTTCGTTGAAGCTGCACCCCTGGGTCACGAGGCATGGGGCGGAGCCGCTGCCATCGGAGGACGAGAACTGCACACTGGTCGAGGTGACCGAAGAGGAGGTCGAGAATTCGGTCAAACACATTCCCAGCCTGGCAACCGTGGTAAGGCAGGATGAACCGCTGCTCAAGAGCAGGGCCAGAGAGCCACAGGCAGCCTGACAGGGATGAACCAGGACACGGGCGGGCAGCTGAGAAGCGGGTGCTGGGCCTGAGAGTCAGGGGTTGGCCGGGTCTGCGCCTCGCCCACAGCTCCCAGCGCCTGGGCCTTGGCCATGTGGCGGGCCAGGTGGCCCCTGCGTCTTCCAGCTTGAGTTCTCTTTGCAGCCGGTCCCAGGATACCTAAACAGGGTAGCCCCTTTCTGAGGATTGTCCTGCCCCTTGTGGAATCCCTGCTTTCAGAGCGTGGCCAGGGGGGAAGGAGGAGCTTTAGAAGGACCAGGGCAGGCGCCTGGGGGAGCTGGAGCCAAGGTCTCTTAGGAGGGGCCACCCCCTGACTGGGTCTCCTGTTCCCGGAGCAGACGGCTCAGCTCGTCCCATCTCTGCAGTGTCGGCAACTGCCAGGGCGACTCTTCACAGCTCCTGGAGGAGGGTGTTTGCTCAGGGCCTACTGGACTCCCTTTTATGGCCTTAAATTTGGGTCCTGATCCAGGAAGATGGAGCTAGAGAATCACCTTGGAGACCGAGAATCACCTACTTGCCAAGGCTGTGCCCAGAGGGTGTCTGACTCCAGGAGGGAGACTCTCAGGGGGCTGGGGCTGGGCAACAGCCCTAGGGCAGGAATCCAGTGGGCTGCCTCGCCATGGCCACCTGGGGAGTCCTGGGTGTGTTCAGTCAGCACCAGCCCCGGAAGGCAGGGCCCTGGGCTCTGTGGGGGGGACCAGATACTATGTGCAGCCTCGAGTGACCTTAGGAGCCCCAGTGCTGGCTCCTTCCCTCCCAGCTTCGCACCTCGCCCTCTGCTTCCCCACATACTTTCTCTCTCCCTCTAGAACCTGAGCCCTGGGGGATCTATTCACATCCTCCTCCTCCTCCCCCACTAGGGGGCCTCTGCATGATCTTCACTGTTGAACACTCACCCACGCCCACCCCCTCCTTCTAGTCCACCCACCGCACCCATGTCCTGAGGCTGTGGTGGGGAAGGCAGCTGACGTTGGGCTCCCAGCACCCGCCATGGGTTGTTCTGTTCCTGTTTGTGAATATTCTGGGGAGAAGGCGGCTGATCCTAGAGGTCTGAAAGAGGCCTTGATTACTCAGGAAATACTTCTTGAACACTGAGTGGTGTCTCAGGCCTGTGGTGGAAGCAGGGATACAGAGGTGAATAAAACTGGCATGGTGTCTGCGGAGGTTGGGCAAAGAACCAAGAAGTAACTGTGCAAGTAACAGAGGGGCTGCAAGGGGAGCCTCCTGGGGGGTTGCAGCCCAGGTAATGGGTTGGAGAAGGCCTCCTGGAAGGCGTGTGCTGAGAGGATGGCGGGGTGTTCATCAGGCTGAGAGGGTAAAGGGTGGGGTGTTCCTGAAAAGGGAGCAGCAAATGCAGCGACCCTCTGTTGGGAGGCGGCTAGGCACACGAGGAACCTTAGGAAAGTCAGGGCAGCTGAAACAGGGCAAAGGAGGTGGAAGGAGGGTGGCATGAGGCTGGACAGGAAGTGGGGCCAGAGCACAAAAGTCCTGAGGCCACAGCAGAAATTTAAATCTTGGTCCCAGAAGTGTGGGAAGCACCTGCAGGATTTGATTCAGGGGAGTGGCATGATCAGTGTTGGCCTTGGGAAGGTCCCATGTGGAGACTGAATTGTGGGGGACAAGGAGGCTGTGGGGGCTTCAGCTGTGTGTGCCACGCACGAGGTTACAGAGATGAGCACGGGACAGTGCCAGCCCTCATAGGGCTCTTGGCCTCTTGATAAAGATGAACCTGGAAAGAAAGGATCACCCTCTGGTGCCATTACACGCTGAGTGTCCATACAGTGACAGGCCAGCGGGGAGAGGCGCGGGAGTGGGAGGCTTCGCTGGGTCCTGAGGGCTGGCCAGGCTCACTGGGGGACCGAAACAGGGTTCTTGTGTTCCAGGAACCACAGAGCTTGGGCCTTGGCAAGGGAGGCACCACGCGTGCTTGTCAAGGGGCACGGCCTTCATTCTCTATCTCAGCATTTTTCTTTTCTTTCTTTAAATTGAGGTCAAATTCTTGTAATATAAAATTAAGCATTTTGAAGTGAACAATAAACTCAGTGGCATTTAATACATTTACAGTATTGTGCAACCATCACATCTCTAGTTCTGAAACATTTTCATCATCCCCAAAAGAAAACCCATACCTGTTGATAGTCACTCACTCTTCCCTCCCCAACCACCCCCAACCCCTGGCATCTACTAGTCAATATTTCCTGTTTCTATAGATTTGCCTATTCTGGACATTTCATATAAGTGGAATCGTACAGTAAGTGGCCTTTTGTATCTGGTTTCTTTCACTCAACATGATGTTTTCAAGATTCATCCACATTGTACCCAGTCACTCCTTTTTAGGGCTGAATAGTGTTCCATTGTAGGGATAGAGCATATTTTATTCATCAGTGGATGGACATTTGGTGGTTTCCACCTTTTAGTAAATCAGTGGTTTTTAAAAATACTTCCCCTTACTCTTTTAGCATGAAAATCTTTTTTATAAAAGTCCAGAGGCTTAGTATATGAAACAGCTTGACGAGACATCATACTTTACTTGGAAGGGAGGCCAGAGCCTTACAGGTGTTGAGGCCACTTTGAAAATTCCTTCATGAACTACAGCAGCCAAAAGCGTCACCATGAACCTTCCATGGCTCCGTGGTCCGTAACAGGTTAAGTTCCAAACTCATATGGGTGAGAGATACCAAGTCAGCGTGAGGGAATCAGGTATGGGTTTCAGAAAGGATAGGGCAAGAGACTTCTCTGATGGTCCAGTGGTTAAGAATTTGCCTTGCCGTGCAGGAGACATGGGTTCAGTCCTTGGTCAGGGAACTAAGGTCCCACATGCTTCCGCAGATAAGCCCTTGTGCTCCAACTACTGAGCCCACATGCTCTGGAGCCCATGCGCCCCAACTAGAGAGTCTGTGCGCTGCAACAAATGAGCTCACATGATGCAGTGAAGACCCTCTTGAGCCACAACTAAAGATCCAATGCAGCCAAATTAACTTTTTTTTAAAAAAAGAAAGGATGGGCTGAGGGGCAGACTGGGAGGCAGAGGGGAGAAGCTGAGCAGTGCCTGAGGGACATGATGAAGGGATATTGACCCTTTCCTCAAAGATCCCCTCCTCTGGCAGGTGTTTCACAACCAAGCTGCGGACCCTGTCTGTCTCCCGGTGGGCGGGGTGGGGGACCCCAAAGAGTTCTGTCTCACGGCTGTGGACAGGCCGGCTCCCAGCGCCTCTCAGGCTTAGAAGGGCTTTCAGGACCTCTGACCTCTCTTGCCCTCACATCACACCAACCTGTGGATGGGCTACCCTCCGTATCCTGGGATGTCTCCTCAGCTCCTTAGAATGGGACCAAAGCTTCTCATCCTCAACAAAAATGCAGCCCCCCATGAGGAACTGGTACCCTTTTGTATTGTTGCTGGGACTGTGGAATGGTGCAGCCGCTGTAAGACAGTCGGGCAGCTCCTTAAAATGTTACACAGAGAGTTACCAGATGATCTAAGAATTCCACTCCTAGGTGTACACCCAAGAGAAATGAAAACATTTTGTGTGGAAAGTATGTCCACACAAACTCCTGTACACAGATGTACATAGTAGCATTAGTCACAATAGCACCAAAGTGGAAACAGTCCAAATATCCACCAATGGATGAACAAATAAGCAAAATATGGCGTATCCACACAAAGGATTATTACCAGGCCATAAAAAGGAATAAAACAATGCAACATGGTAGACCTTGAAAACATCCTGCTTGCTGAGTGAAAGAAGCCAGACCCCAAAGGCTACATATTGAATGATTCCATTTATACGATATAAGAAAAGATAAACCCATAGAGACAGAAAGTGGATCAGTGGTTGCCAGGAACTGGGAGGAGGAGCGGGGGCGGCTGCTAATGGGTACTGGGTTTCTCTCGGCAGGGATGTAAATGTTCTGAAATTAGATAGTGGTGATGTGAATATACTAAAAACCATTGAACTGTACACTTTAAAGCGGTGAATTTTAAGCCGTGTGAATTACATTTAAATTAAAAGTGCAGGGAGGGGGGATTGGGATGGGGAACACATGTAAATCTATGGCTGATTCATGTCAATGTATGGCAAAAACCACTACAATATTGTAAAGTAATTAGCCTCCAACTAATAAAAATAAATGAAAAAAATAATTAAAAGTGCAGTGATCCCCCTCCCTCTCAGATTATACCTGGGAAGCAGTAATTGGTTGCCTGTTGGGGTGGTTGTAGACGGCTTTCACCGACAGTAAAAGCCTCGCCTTGAAGAGGAGACAGGTTGACGGGCCAGGAGGGCATGTCCAGCGATGGCTCAGGTGAGACAGATGCTGCCACGGACACTGCACAAACAGTTCAGGCCAGCTCTCCTGCAATCGGGTAGGCCAAGACTAGATTGACAGGCTCTGGATGTCAGACTGCGGAGCTTAGACCTATCTTGTTGACAACCAGGGAGCTGTGGAAGATTCTGGCTGTGGGCCAGTGAGACTTGGTGATGGTTTCGGCCCCTGTATCCTGGGTGGGTGTTTCTCAAAGGCTCACCATCAGCAATCAGTCCTGGGAACTGGCAGGGGGCAGGGTGTGTGTGTGGGGGGGTGGGAATGAGGGGAGGGGAAGGGAAGAAGATGGGAGACTCGTGCTCTGGCACGAGTGAGGCTGTTGCCTGGAGTCCCCCCACCCCCAGGTGGCTGAGCCTCCTCTCCTTTCCAGATCCTGGTGAAGACCATGATACGAAAACGCTCCTTCGGGAACCCGTTTGAGGGCAGCCGGCGGGAGGAGCGTTCCTTGTCAGCGCCTGGAAACCTGCTCAGGTGAGTATCCCTGGGGTGGGGAGCTGGAGGCCGCCCTGCCCTGCCCTCTCCTGGCCCATTCTCTCAGCAGCGGTGTCCAGACTCAGATCAGCCCTGCTGAGCTCTCTAGGGGAGTCAGAGCAAAGCTGCTGGCTTTGGTTTTTGCCCGACCCTGGACCCAGCCTGCCTCCTTGACTGACCACAGGGAACTTTTACCTTTCTCCAGGGGTACATGCATTTTAACAGGGGTGGAGAATGGTTGATTATCAGGCTGTTAGACCGCAGAGCATGCATGCTTGATGGTGGGATTGTGGCCCTATGATGAGTGAGCAAAGCGAGTCTCTCATGGGACCACCACCCCCCAAAACGTCTCTCAGTCGGGGGGGGGGAGTGTCCTGCTCTGACCACCCTGGCAACAGCTCCGTGAAGCTGGTGTTTGGGGTCTGAGTGTCTCTGGGGGTTGGGGGACCGGCATGCCATGGGTGCCAAGTGTCCCTTCTCACTTCCCTTTTCCCTCCCCTCTGGCGATTCCAGCAAAAAACCAACCAGGGAGTGTGAGCCCCTGTCTGAGCCCAAGGTAACGCCTGCCTGCCTGTGCCTTCGCCTCTGCCGGGGCCTGGGGGCGGGGGCAGCCGCAGAGCACGGGGCATCTGCACCCAGGCGGACCTTCCTTCCAGCCCGGTGCCTCCAGACCCAGGAGGAAAACAGGGGGCATCTAGGGGCTTGGACCCGGCGGCGGGTGGTGCATGTGGGCTGGGGCTGCGGGTGCATGGCGCTCCACCCGGAATGCCTGTGAACTCACCCGGGTCTTAGACCTAGTCTGGCACCCACCTAGGCTCGGTGCACGTCAACTGCCTTGAAGCTATGTCATGGGCCGAGGCCGCCCCTGATCTGGGCTTGGTGGTCAGAGCCTAGAGCAGGCATGCTGTGCTCAGGGGTTTCCCCCCTGGGGCTCTCCAGCATCTGCCCCTTCTTCTCTGATGGGTTAAGACCTAGAAAATACGTCCCCATCCAGCCTGTTGCAAATGAGTGTGAAAGCTCCCCTGGTTCGGAGAAGGATCCGGACCTATTCCCCCGAGTTCGCCATCCTCTTCCAAACACATGCCCAACTTAGCCGTCCCAGCACCTCCTAGGACAGAGGAGCATTTCTGTCCCTGCAAGCCTGAGATGACACGATGATCCTTCCCCACCGCGTGCCTGTGACAGGATAGCAGTCCTGGGACTCTGCCCACTGAGCCCAGCTCACCACCTCATTCTCAGTTGGGAGCTCCAGGCAATCATTTCTAAGTCTTAAAAGCTGCTGTGTTGAGCGTATGAGTCACATACCATACACTTCACCCATTTAGAGGATATAACTCAATAGAGTTTAATATATTTGCCGAGTTGTGTAACCATCACTACAGTCAGTTTTAGAATATTTTCATTAGCTCAAGAAGAAACTCTGTACCCTCGTCTCTCACCACCCAACTCCCCCATTCCCCAGCCAGCACGAGGCTACTTGCAGTTTCTATAGATTTACACATTCTGGACATTTCATATAAATGGAATCATACAGTATGTGGCCTTTGTGTCTGGCTTCTTTCACTCAGCTTAATGTTTCTGAGGTTCATCTATGGTGCAGCATGTGTCAGAACTTCATTCCTTTTTATGGCTTGATCATATTCCATTGTATGGATATACCCACACTTTGTTTCTCCATTCATTTGGTGATGAATACACTTTCCACTTTGGCCACTGTCATGCATGAATAATGCTGCCCTGAACAATGCCTGTGCAAGCGGCATTTGTTTGTTAGGAGTTGGCTTATGAGATGAAATTTCTTGGCCACCATAGGAGCCAGGTACTTATACAGTAACGTAGGAAGACCATCTGTGGATCATTTATGCTCTTCCAGAGCAGGGAAAACAGCAGTTAGCCCTCAGAACCGATCATGGACAGCCTGTGAAGGCTGCCTCCGTCCCTGCCACAGTGTTCTCAGGCGTCTCTACAGCTGTGTGATGAGGTGGCCTCACTTACAGTGTGAGCCTTACAAGGTCACAGGTTGAAGCCTAATGGGCTGGCCTGTACTTGTCCCTTCTCTTCGCAACCTGTTTTACAGTTTGCCTTCCTTTTTGTGCAAGTCTTTTTATTTCATCTTCTGTTTTTAATGAGATCAAAGCTGCAGGACACCAAAGACTTGAGATTGGCCCAGAAGACCTTACTGCCTCTCTCTTCCCTCATCTCCGTCCCAGAAGCACCTGGGGATTACCTGCCCTTGCCCTTAGCCCACGAGTGGATGCTTTGCTTGTCCCAGTGGTCCAGCACTCTGGAGCTCTTAGGCTTAGGCAGTCTTGGAGGCCTTGGGCCCACGCCCGTCAGCAGTGAGACCAGCTGGTATGAGCAGACAGCTGTTGGGCCTCCCTGGATATCCAATTACATCTCTCCTCCCCAGAGACTTGACCCTCTCTTCTTTGGCAGAAACATAATAGCCAATGTGTGTGATTTTTAAACAAAGAGGAGTTTCTTCCTAGGAATGTATGGACATCATGCCCTTGCCTCATGCAGAGGGCAGTTCCCCTTCTGGCCAAAGGCATGCAAGAGATACCAGTCCTGTGTGGCAAGCCCAGTGGCTCTCCTTAGGACAGGCGTTCTTTGCTTAATGTTGGTAAAGGGTTTGGGCCTCTCTTTAGGGACTTTCCCTCACATTTCCCATCACGTGGCCCACGTCCGTCACCCCAGACAGCTGTAGCTGGGGGCACTTCGGGGTATGGCCTCTTGGGGACATGGGGACACTTCCCTACCAGTCTAGTCTCTTCTGCTTTGGTCACACATTGCCAAGATGAGGGCCCTTCTCTCTGTCGGAGGCATCCCTTGGGCCTGTGTGCTGAGCACATTTCTGTTGATAACCATGTCCTGAAGGCTGGCTTTGTGCCAGGCCAAGTCAGGTGGTCCTGCTTGTGTCCCCCAGGAAACACACCTGGAGACTGAAAACAGTCACGGTTCCTGCCCTGCAAGAGCTTAGAGCCTAAAGCGGGGGAAGTGAAGATGCCTACATTCTCTGTGAACAGGCCCCAGTGTGGAGTCCATAGGGCCTGTGCTCTGTGCCATGGTTTTAGGTGTCAGGCCCATAGATTCGTGTCTATGTTTATAGTTTATATCCCTTGCTATTTTTGGCACATGATACTGGTTTTCCATTTACCAAAGAGATGCAAAGTCTCCTTCGAAACTTTTACATGAGCAAGAAAAAGGAGGAGAGACTCTAAAAGCAGACGTAAATAACGGTCCAGGCAGTGTAGGACCGCCAGAGACATTGGTTCAGGGCCCTGCCTGCATCGCCCCAGGACTTAATGTGGGTTTTTTTGTTCGGTGAGCAGGAAGCAAGGCAGCGAAGACAGCCTCCAGGGCCCCGACCCGGCCCCCGTAGGGGAGGAGGAAGTGCTCTCATGAAAGGCGGCCCTGGTGTGGAGAGTTGGGGGGTCCCAGGCCCCTGCTCCCTAGAGCACACTCATCCTGCGCGGCCGGACGAGGTGATGGAGTAGCCGCCGGACCGCCGCGACTGCGCATGCACGTCTCACATCTGCTGGCGGCGCCCTGTGTTTCCATAGCAGCATGTCCTACGGGAAACCGAGCACGTGTGTAGAGCCTTGACCGTCATCTCTGGTTGTTTTGTTTTGTTTTTAGTTTGTTTGATTTCTTTCTTGTTTTAAAGGGGACAAAAAAAAAAAAAATGACGACTCCATGACATCGACTTTGGCCGCTGGCTGGCTGAATGGGCGGGTGTGAGGAGTTGCAGACCCAAAGCCACGTGCATTGGGGGACAATTGCTTTTTAAGACATTTTTATGCCAAAAATCCTTCCTTGTGAACTCAGAATGGTGTCAAGAGATACCAAGTGAATGTGTGTGAGGTTTGAACATTGGGAAGAACTGGCAGGAAACTCTGGTGGTGTGGTCCAAGGCCACACTTGGCTGCATTTGAAAGGGAGAGGAAAAGCAGGTGTGACTTCGTGCAAAACCCCAAACCGTGGCACCTTCTAGAATGTGGATTCATGGAGTCAGGACAGGGTTAGCCCTCAGTATCAGCTGCAGCCTGATTCGATGCAACTTATTCCTAAGAAGGACTATAAATTTTTTTAATGAGTAGAGCTGTAATCAGGAAAACAGAAAGGGCTTGATACACAAGAGCTTGGTGGAGGGCAGATTTTCTATTCCCAGAAGGGCATTCAGTGGTTATGGTGGGATGTCTCCCCTCAAGGATTAAATGAGTGTGTTTATGACAGCCACTCAGAGCTGAAATATTTCTTAAATAGTTGAAGGAGCTCTAGTAAATCTCTTGTTAAATTACAGAAACTTCAGGGTGAAATTAAATCCTACACTTCCATGTATGTTACATGGCTTAAGAATAAACAACAACAAATACTTTCAATTCTCTAACTAGTCTGAACTCTTGAGCAGTTCAGAAACCATTTTGAGCTTCCAGGAGCTATCCCATGGCTTCAGGTGTGTGATCACAGTTAGCGCCAATGACATCTATCCTGTATATTAGCAGCTCAGCTTGCTTATAACCTGTGTATTCTAGAGGCTGCTAAGATTCTGTTTTCTTCTTCAGCACTAGCTGATTGTTGTAGTCAGTGAAACAGTTATCCAGTTTGTGGAGGGCTAGTTAGGAAATACTTCGATTCAGCTGAGACATAAACGATCATCCTTATTGGCAAAACTCTGTTAGGATCTAAACAATAACTGTAGGGCACCCTTTTAGAGAAGATTCTTGAAACCTGGAGCAGTCCTCAGGTCCAGTGCAACCAGGGCTTGGCACAGGAAGTCCCCTTTTGTAGCCAGCAGTCCAGAAAGAAAAAAGTGTATGCTTTTGACTTCCAACTAACATTGGGAAGTTCAATTGCAGTTCAAGTGTGACTTCTTCCAGAGTCCCATGTGGGTAACTGTGAGGTTCAAGAGGGAGGAAAATTGGAAGGACTTGGCCTGGGGGATTCCCAATGCTTTGTGGAATTTGCCTTGGGGATCGGGATCAGAAGCATGAGCTCTTCTGTAGCTTCTGGCTGATCTGTGCTGAAAGGGGCACTTTGTGCAGAGACAGAGCAGCAGGTCTGTGTCTGCTGCCAAGTATGTTCACAGAGCTTCCACAGATCTTCGTCAGCTCTTGACTGTCGTTTAGCCAGACTCTTCTTTCTACCTTATAAGCAGTACAGTTAGAGAAGGCTGGTTTCCAAGAGTCAAGGACACCCATCTGATGGAGGGTCCTCTGGCCTCTTTCTTTCTGTAATCTAGTACTTCTTCTCCTGTGCTTGTTTAAATCTACAGGCTCCACCCCTCCTGGGAACAAATGGGTCTGGTTAGTTTGCAATAAGCACCTTGCAATGGTTTAAGTTGACCTGCTCTTCATCTTAGTCCGTGTGGACGCTGACCTGGTAGTGGGGGGCTCGCCCGGAGAGGCAGGGGCTGGTAGCATGCATAGCCTCTGCAGAACTCCTCCTGTGTTTACACAACTGCATCGGGCGATGCCATTTCTCCGGCCATGAAACTCTCCATTGAAGATTTCACATGAGGAAAGCCAGCGATCAGGCAGCACTGAACTGTTCAGGCAGGTGGGTTGGGGGAGGCCCCATGTTCATTACTGTTTTTTTTTTTTTTACACTAAGAAACACCAAAGAAAGCTGTGGAAAAGAACCACCCCACCGAGAAAAGGATGAGCAGAGAGGGCTGTAACAGAAAGCATTAGAGCTACTTGGAGCGCAGACTCTTGGGGTTTGTCTCCACTCTTAGAGCACAAACACTGATTTTTTCCCAAAGCCAACTCTGTCAGGAAAGGGCAGAAGCTGTTATGAGCAGCTTTTCTACGTAAGCAAAAAGGATGCCTATCCTTCTCTTCCATTACTGGCTCATCTGCGGGACCAATTTTTAAGCAAGCGGTGGCCTGCACCTGTGGCCTTGAAGAAGCACATGTTCTCTACCCATCTTTCTTCCACCCTGTTTCACTTCCCCATCTGTTCCACAGCCTGGCCAGTGGCTCCCATAAAGCCTTATCTAGCCCCTTGCTGGCACTTGGGGCCGGAGAGGCCATCTACCCGGTGGTCTGGCCTTTCTCGTAAGCTAGGGCTCTCGTCCTCCAAGCCTTTCAGGATGAGGTGAAGAACTGTGCAATGTAGACACATAGGCTCCACCTGTCACTCTCACCCATCTTCCAAAGGGGAGCTTCACATCACCAGGGGGAAGAACCAAGACTTCCACTCGCTTCCAAGGTGCTAGGGAAGGTTTCAAGGTCGTTGATTTCAATCTTCTCTCCAGCTTTACAGGCCGAGTTTCATGGGACTACTGACTTTTCTATTCTGTGGTTGATTTCATGCCCGATGCTTCTGTTTTATTCCTGATCCTTTCTACTATGCATTTTCCTTTTATCAGGTGTACAAAGTTAAATACTGTGTATTTATCACTGAAAAGTACATGAACTTAAGAGAAAAATAAGCCTTCAGTGTTTTTCCACAAATGTTTAAGCTTCTCTGTAAACTTGAAATAAACAGCAAAATGGTGCAAAGTCTGGGCCTCTTTGGGATTTTTTTTTTTTTTTTGGTTAATTAAGTCAGTGGTCTTGAGGTCATCTGTCTTCATGTCTGTTTTCCTTCCTTAGGCTGACAGCAAAATTGAATGCCCAAGTCAGAGCTGATGTACTCAGCAAATCCCTAATTTAAGCATGTCCTGGTACCTCCCTGGGTCTTCCTAGGTGGCGCAGTGGTAAAGAATCCACCTGCCAATGCAGCGGTGCAGGAGATGAGGATTCGATCCCTGGATCCAGAATATCCCCTGGAGTAGGAAATGGCAACCTGTTCCAGTATTCTTGCTTGGAAAAGCTCATGGACAGAGGAGTCTGGTGGGCCACAGTCCATGGGGTCAGAAAGAGTCGGATACGACTGAGCACGAGAGTACCTCCCTACTAAGAGGGCGGTCCCCACGTCAGCAGTATCAGTGTCACCTGGGAGTGGCTGAGCAATTCAGATTCCCAGGCCCCATTTAAACAAGATCCCCAGGTGACTCACTTGATGCTGAAGTTTGCAATGCACTGCTCTGGGGCAGCTCACTGCCAGATAGATTCTTCTGGTGAAGACCAAACAGGTGAACTGCTATGGGAGTAGTTTAATCACACACTGAATACATCCTGTAGGCAGTCATACTACGTGACACTTTACCACATAAGGTGGGTGTTGAGCCCATTTTACGGGTCGTCATCTGTAAACAGGCTCAGAAAAGGCTCCAAATTTATCAACTAATTCAGTGTTCTACAGAGCCTTGATGGTTGCCAGCTTTCATGACGTCTGGAGAGACTGTTTTAGAACTGCTGCTTTCTCCAGACTGTGGGCTGAAGGTTCCCTGCACTTCAAATGTGAATCCAGCCCACGGCGCTGCGTTACTGGCTTTGAACTTCAGTTCTGTGTTATCAGGGGACAGTGGATGAAGTCTGAAAGACTCCTGTTCCCTTACTGCAGAAATAACAGCCCTGAAATACTGTTGCTATTTAAAGACTCCCCTCCCCCCACGGAGAATCTGATGAAAGTGAGAAGAAATGCCCACAGGTGCCTCACTTTGCAGAGGTTTAGGGGTTTCAGAATCTCCTGGAAGGTCATCCATGGATGCAAGGCTGAAAAAGCTCTACTTAAGAGGCAGCGCCAAGGAGTGCCAACAAGTGGGGCTGTTAGCAGAACACAAGGCAATTCTGGCGAGTTCAAGATCAGTGCCACCCCCAGCCCTCACCCCATCTTTAGAAAGAGGTGGGCCATAAGAAGTCTCTCTCACTCCAGCAACCACAACTCCTTAGCCTGCAAGACAATAAACTTTTCCTAAACAGTCAAGCTCCATGGGACCTGTGTGTTCAAGCAGGCATTTTTCAAAACGGTAGCTCAAGGGACTTCCCTGGTGATCCAGTGGTTAAGAATCTGCTTTTCAATGCAGGGGGCATGGGTTTGATTCCTGGTCAGGCAACTAAGATCCACACTGTGTCCCATGGCTGGGGGGAGAAGGTAGCTTGAACCAGAACTTTTTCAAAGGGGTCAGTAAACTTTTTTTTTCCCTCTCCCAAAGCAAGAAAAGCTCAGGTTGTCATTTACCCCACAGAAGCAGAGCACTTCTAAAATAAATGTTCCCTTTAACAGTTGGAAATGAATTCCTGACAAGGCTGAGAGGCAGGCTGCTTCCTTTAGGGAGACGCTGAACACCTGATGCAGAATGAAGTCGGTGTGAAGCCCAGGCCAGAAATAGCTTCATTAACATTTCAAACCGGTGGCAAGGTAGATGGAGCTGGTGCTGCTTTTGGTTCAAGGCTTCTGGAAAGCAAATGGGGAGGGAGGATAAGCCAACTTCGTGTCCCCTAAAACTGTGTTCCCTGTAGTATACACCCACACTTTTATGTAAAATGTAAGCACAGGTAAGAGACCACAGGAAAAAAAAATCTTGTAAACTCCATAGGAACATAAGCTAATGAAGAACCAGACTTCTTAGGCTTTTAAGAGAAGGTTAAAGTAGAGTGGGGGGGGGGGGGGACTAAGCTCCAGCAATAGACTTGTTTCAGGAACATTTCTGAACACAGTGAGCTGGGCTAACAGGTGGATTTACTGGCTGAAATAAAAGGGAAGGAAGGAAAGTTCTAGCCCATGCTGTGAAACCACACAGAGATTAAAAAAGTCATTTGTTTTAATGTTTGGTCCTCAGTCATCTCAGTGTAGCTCTTCACAAAGGAAAAACACGGGCTCAGCTTCATAAGTGTGGGGTTGAAGCCTCGGTTGGGGGAAGAGGAACAGCGGCCCAGAGTGCTAAAGAGCTACGACCACACCCAAGTGTCCTGCCTTCTTCATAAAGTGCTTGAACGGAGCTGCCGGGCCTTGGAGGACCGGCCTGGTCTCCCAGGGGGCTGGAGATGGAAGATTCTGAGGAAAGCCGGCCCTGGAGAAGGCCCCCGGCCCTGCAGCCATAGTTGCGTCACTGGCCTTGGGCCAGAGCTCACCCCAGTGATGCTAAATTGAAGGAGCAGCAGAGGTGACCCAGCTGCCACTGTGCAGAGTGGTTTACTACACAAACCCTACTCAGAGAACATGGGAGCAGCTGGACAACCCTGCAGTACTTGTGCAGACTTGACTCAGAATCTGGAACTTCCTCTGGGGTGATATGGCAGCCTTTCCTCCTTCCTCTCTGTGCTCTGATGAGGGCCGTGGAGAGCCCAGGTGAGGGGCGGGCATCACTGGTCCATCTGATTGCCAAGACCCTGCAAAGAACAACATGCCTGTCATCAGTTGATGCACTTATGGATACGTGTGCACCCACCAGTTGCTGCCTACAGGTAAGCCTGGACCATCAGGGGCAAAGGAGGGTCAGGCACTTTCCTTGAGGACATCTGGATGACCCTTCACAACTGAAAGTACTCAGGCAGATCCTAGAGGTACCCAACCTTTCTTGCTCTACAAGTCAAATTTAAGTAGAGTGAGGACACAGATTTCGTCATGCTACATTCTCATAACTAACCTGTGCTTAGTCGCTCAGTCGACTCTTTCCAACCCCATGAACTGTAGCCCGCCAGGCTCCTCTGTCCATGGGGATTCTCCAGGCAAGAATATTGGAGTGGGTTACCATGCCCTCCTCCAGGGGAGCTTCCCAACCCAGGGATTGAACCCAGGTCTCCTGCATCACAAGTGGATTCTTTACCAGCTAAGCTACCAGGCAAGCTCTAACTAGCCTGAGATGTCACTGTTTAAAATGAGGCTAGATTTTAAAGGGTGAGTCCATCTGAAGACAAGTATGAAGCAAATGTTAGTACAGATGGTCCAGAAATGGAGTGGATGATGAGAGTGGTGTGTGACTGCCTGGGTGGACAATACACCTAAATGTACTGGGTTCTCACCACTGGTACAAGAGGCAGGTGAGGTCAGGCGCTTTGGCCTTCCTGCCTGCTGGGAGTTCAGGAGGTGGCCTACCTGCTCATAATCTTCCACATATTTATATTTCTTCTCGCGGTAGTAGTATCTCTTCTTCATGCAGTAGAGGACTATGACGTCACACAGCACTGTCGCCTGAGTGTAGCACAGGGCGAGAAAGAATGAGCCAAGCTGCTGTGGTCTCTGCTTCCCATGGGTCCTCCAAGGAAAGGAAAGCCTCCCCCCATCTCTTGGGGGAAACAATTAGGCCCCAAGGGACATAGTCTTAGAGAATGGCAGGCAGAGAGAGCAGGATAGGGAAAGGGAAACAAGCCTGGAGGGCTGAGACTAGAAACAAGTCTGGGGTGGAGGAGAAGAACCAGGGTGGCAGTGGAGGGTCTCAACTTGCAGTGCTAGCCACTGCTGGGAGGGCTGCGACCCTGGGGCGGGGTGGGGGTGGGGATGAGTAACTGGAAAGTCTAAATGAACCACTCACCACCCCTAAGAGCGCCAAGCCAGAGCCAATGTTGATCATGGTGGGGATGATGTCAAATTTCCCAGCCTGTTAGTGATAGGAGAAAAAGAAAAAGTTGTGATGGGGGCAGAGAGTGGGCCCTCTGCCCCCCGGCCAACCCAGAAGAAGACTAGTGGGCTCTGAACAAGGGGAACCGGTGGCCAGGCTACCTTTCCAAACACGATGATGTCAAAGCGGATGCCATAGGCTTTGATGAGCGTGCGGCGCTCAGCACCGTTTGGGTCGCTGTAGTACTTGGCAAACCTGCGGAGAGAAGGCCAGGTTACAGTGCCAAGGTACAGGTGGCCTGAGACAGCATCTGGATCCTGGCAAGGGATGTCAGACTGAACTGCTGAGGCCCTGGTGGAGTTGGCACTGGCTAAGGATTCACTCATGCCTGCCTGCTGTATAGACCACACTCTAGCTCCTCAAGGCCTTTCCTGGCTAATGTGAGCCATGTGGGAGAAGGGCTGGCCTGTTGAGGAGGAGGGCGCCTGGGCCCACAGTGCAGAATGCCTGGAATGCAGGCAGAAGGGCACACAAAGAGATCCCCGCTCTGTCATCACTGTCACCTGCTATGACTTAAAACCAGAACTTCCTCCTCTGAAAGTCCTTCCTGACACTGCTGAGCCCCCTGCCTCTCTGAGTAAGAAGACCTTGGCCATAATAAAAGGTGGCCAGGCAATAGCAATCATGAAGACTGCTTTGTCGGTGGGGGAGGCTGAGCATCAGCATTGGACCTTTTTTTTTTTTTTAAATTAAAGAAACTTTGACCCATCAGTAGGAAGAGTAGATAAACAAAATGTGGTATGTCCACACAATGGAGTATTATTTAGCCATAAAAAGAGAGGTACTGATAAATGCTACAACATGGATGAACCTGGAAAAAAATGATGCTAAGTGAAAGAAGCCAGTCACAGAAGGCCACCTATTATATGAATCCATTCCTATGAAATTCAAGAACCAGTAAATTAGGTGGATTACTGGTTGCCAGGGGCTAAGGGAGATGGAAGGATAGAGAGGTGAAAGCTTAAGAGCCTGGAGTTTCTTTCTGAGGTGATGAAAATATACTAAAATTGCAGTAATCATTGCACAACTCTGAATATGAATATGCTTAAAAAAACCATCTGAATTCTACTTTAAATGGGTGAACTGTGTAGAATATGAACTATATCTCAATAAAGCCATTTAAAAAGAACAAGAGAGGGACCGTTTTGGGGAGAACCACTGAGACTTTTACCATTTGCTGCCCGTGTTACACAGGGGATCCACCAGGAGCCTAAGCTGTGGCCTGAGATCTGTCTGGCCCCCAACTTCCATGCCATGGTCCAGGCCTGGGGAACTCAGGTGGGACTAATGCTGACGGGGGTCCTTGTGAGGACTTCTCTCTGTTCTGGGGTTCCAGCCCAAGCTGGAGGTTTTTCCACAGTGGTTTCTACAAGAACTGTGTAACCACAGAGATAGAACAGTACAAATCAGACTCCCTTACTAGGAAAAAATGTATCTTCCCTTCTAATCAGTGAACCAGATGGTTCAAAAGGACAGCAGATCCTGCATGCATTTGATTCCACACATCACCACTAGGCTTCTCTGATAGCTCTAATAGTTGGTAAAGAATCCACCTGCAATGCAGGGGACCCCGGTTAGATTCCTGGGTCGGGAAGATCCGTTGGAGAAGGGATAGGCTACCCACTCCAGTGTTCTTGGGCTTCCCTTGTGGCTCAGCTGGTAAAGAATCTACCCACAATCGGGAGACCTGGGTTCTATCACTGGGTTGGGAGGATCCTCTGGAGAAGGGAAAGGCTACCCACTCCAGTGTTCTGGCCTAGAGAAGTCCCTGGACTTTCTAGTCCATGGGTTGCAAAGAGTCGGACAGGACTGAGCGACTTTCACGTCACTTCACCTCATCACCACTAGAGGGCGATAAGTGCAGCACAAGAGCACCACTCTTCATTCTTGCTTGGAGAATTCCACAGACAGAGGAGCCCGGTGGGCTATACAGTCCATAGGGTCACGAAGAGTCGGACATGACTGAAGCGACTTAGCACACAACAGCACAGCCTGCTCAGGTGCTCCTTCCTGGTGCTTGGTTTTGGTGTGGAAAACGCAACAAAGACTGCATGAAAATATACGTGGTACAGATTTCATTGGGTCAAGGAAGTGACAACTGTCAGCCAAAAAGTGACTGGTCCCTCAGCCCTCTCCTCAGATTACCAGCTGCACTGGTTTGAATACTGTCAACCAAGTTCATGTCTACCCAGAACCTGTGAGTGGGACCTTACTTAGAAATAGGGTCTTTGCAGATGTAGTCACAGTTAAGATGTCATACTGGATTGGGGTGGACCCCAAATCCGATACGACTGGTGTCCTTATAAAAGAGAGACGAAGGAAACACAGGGACGCAGACACAGAAAGGAGGCGGTCATGGGGTGACAGAGGCAGAGACTGGAGCGATGCATGAAGCCAGGGACCACCAAGGGTTGTCAGGAGCCATCAGAAGCAGGAAGAGGCCAGGAGATATGCTGGCCTATATATACAGGAGCCTGGCCTGCAGATACACTGATCTGGGGCTTCTGTTCTCCAGAACTGTGAGAAGATAGAGTCCTGCCATTTGGAGCCACCCAGTTTGTGGTCATTTGTTAGGGCAGTCCTGTGGGAATGCACAGCACTTCCCACACGGGTGTACCAGCAAAGGCCTTTCCTGAGACTAAAACCTGTATCCCCTGCTCCTTGGAGATTCTAGGGGCCAGATCACCTAAGAAGCCAATTCACAAGTCAGGCCCCAGAGGCCCTTGGACTGGAGGACCACAGACTCAGCCACTACTCAGAATTAGTGGCACGGTCCTGGCGGAGGCTGGTCTGGGAAAGCTAAAGCAGGCAGACTCTCCTGGAGGCAAGAAAAGGAAGGGGGGCTCTCACGGGTTGGAATGCCACAGACTCGAGGCCCTGCTTGGACCACCCTCCCTGGTGCATGCCTCCCCTCCTGCCCTTGGTCTTGGGTGGGCGTGGAGGCCCCACTGGGGAGTGATCCAGTTGCCATCGCCCCCAACACGTGAGGCATGGGGCCCAAGCTCACACCCACCTGAAGTTGTAGCCTGGGGATACGTTGTGGTCCACGTCCCGGGTGTCCAGGCGGCGGAAGGAATACCTGGGCAGGCAGAGGGAGGCGGCCCTGTCCAGGTTGCAGTCCCACTTGATCTGGATGCCCATGATGCCTCCCTGTGGGGTGCGAGCAGAGCCCATTCTAGAAGGTGATATGTCAAAGGCTGTGCTAGAACAGCCTGGACTAGGACTTCCCTGGTGGTTCACTGGCTAAGACTCTGCACTCCCAAAGCCAGGGGCCTAGGTTTAATCCCTGATCAGAGAACTAGATCCCACATGCTGCAACTAAACACCCTGCATGAGGCAGCTAAGGACCCTGCATGCCACAGTGTAGATCCCATGCACTGCAACTAAGACCATGTGTGCATGCTAAGCCGCTTCAGTTGTGTCCGACTCTTTGAGACCCCATGGACTATAGCCCGCCAGGCTACTCTGTCCATGAGATTCTCCAAGAATATGGGAGTGGGTTGCTATGCCCTCCTCCAGGGGATCTTCCCCACTCAGGGATCAAACCCGGGTCTCCCACACTGCAGGTGCATTCTTTACCAGCTGAGCCACCAGGGAAGCCATAACTAAGACCTGGTACAGCCAAATAAATAAATACATAATTTTTTTTTTTTAAAGAAAAGCCAAGACCTGCACCCACCTCAATGGCTATGTCCTGGAAGCTGTGCCCTGCGCTCTCCACGATTGTGCCAAGTCGGAATATGGGGCAGAAGGGATCTGTTTTCGCATCATAAATGCACGTTTTGAGGTAGGCGGTGGTGATGTTGGGAAGGATATTCCTCCTAAAGTCAGGAGGAAGCAGAAAATAGGAGCGAGGAAAACCTCAAAGAGCCAGAAGTTTCTCCAAGACATTGGTGAACTCACACAGCTGGTCGCTACTTACTTGCTGAAGTTAAATTTGGGATACCAGATGTTGTTCTTAATCAAAAGAGTGAAGTTTTCTGCAGCCTTTAAAAAAGCAGGCCTGAAAAAAATTATAACATATTGTTAATACAAGTACAAACATATGTACACTCCTAATATACCTAGGTAATATTTTTAAGCAGCAGACACACGTGTGTCTTACAATATCACTTTGCCTGAAAAAAGTAAAACGTTTCTCATGGCTGTTTTTTTTTTTTTGCTACTCTCCTCTGCATAAACACTAGGTCAAGAGGGGAGACAGTAAACCAAGGTCTCCGGTTTCTTCTAAGAACAGAAGGGCAGGGCCTTTTCCTTGAGGCCATGGGAATTTAAGAACCTGAGGAATAGCTCCCACACGGGTGGGAGGGGCAGGGTCTCCTGGCCTCCCTAGCAATCACTCTTCCGGCAGGTGCTGGGTTTCAGGGCTTGCCTCAGGTGTTCGCAGCAGATCTGGTTTAACAAGTGAAAGCAAAGGTGAATTCACCTAGAGGCTGGAGACAGCATGTGGCACGTGACTGCGCTGCACCACCTCTTCTCAGAAGTGCCACGTCGCTCCTGCTGACAGTAGGAGCAGAATCTGTCCCGGGGTGGGGGGCGGGTACACTGCCTTAGAGCATTTCTACAGGGGGATGTGGAACTGTGAACTGACCCCTTGGTGGAGGAGGCCCCCAACCCAGGTCGAATTTTTTTTTTGGCTGCACCACCTGGCATGCAGGATCTTAGTTCCCCGACCAGGGATTGAACCCATGCCCCCTGCAACGTAAGTGCAGAATCTTAACCACTGGACCACCAGAGAAGTCCCTCAACTCACTTTTTTTTTTTAATTGACCTTCATTTTGAAATAAAACTTTCCATCATGACTATAAAAAAATGTCATTTGCCACAAGTCAGAGGTCATTGTTCAAATAAACACAACTCAGTCAGAACAATGTCATTACAAACTGTGGTTCCCATTTTCGTCGTGTGCTGAGCCTGGGGCTTGTTCTTGGTGAGAAATGGAAATCGGTGAGGGATACAGACTCCAGACAAGCACCTCCTCCTTGACATCAGCTCAGGGCTGAATAAGAGTGAAGATGGGAATCCCTTTCTCTCCGTGTGACTCAGTGTTATTTCATGTTATCAGTAAACCCTTAAAAACCATCCTACACTGATGTGATCTATAACAGCGCTGTGCAGTGAAAACATACTGTGAGATACGAAGTGTTAGTCGCTCAGTTCTGTCTGACTCTGAAACCCCATGGACTGTAGTCCGTGCCACGCTCCTCTGTCCATGGAATCCTCCAGGCAAGAATACTGGAGTGGGGTGCCATTCCCTTCTCTAGGGGATCTTCCCAACCCAGGGATCAAGACACAAACTGTGTTGTAATTTAAGTTTCCTGATAGTCACATTAAAAAGTAACAAGTGAAATGAACTTTGCTATAATAACTCAGTATGTCTAAAATAATATTCCAACATGTAAACAACAAAGAATATTATTAATGAGATACTGTGATTTAGTCGCTAAGTTGTGTCTGACTCTTGTGACCCCATGGACTGTACCCCACCAGGCTCCTCTGTCCCCTGGATTTCCCAGGCAAGAATACTGGAATGGGTTGCCATTTCCTTCTCTAGGGGATCTTCCTGACCCAAGGATGTAACCAACATTTCCTGCATTGCAGGTGGATTCTTTACTGCTGAGCTATCAGGGAAGCCCTAATCAGATATTACATATCCTTTTCTTAAATAATTTAAGTCTTCAGAATCTGGAGTATATTTTACCCTGAGAGCTCATTTTGGACTCAGCTGCATTTCTTCCTTCCTTTCTTTCTTTCCTAGTCATGCAGCATGTTAATTTCCTGGCCATGGATGGAAGCCATGCCCCCTGCATTGATAGCATGGAGTCTTAACCACTGACCCACCAGGTAAGTCCCCCAGGCTGCATTTCAAGTGCTCAGTAGCCACACATGGCCACCAGCTTCATAAGGTCCTTTCCAGCCCCAGAATGCTAGGATTTCTTGTCTTGTGGAATTCCCTTCCCTAGCCGGAGCTGCTGCCCTCAGCAACCTGCAGACCTCAACACTGTCTTGTGTTGCGACACACCCAGGATGAGGTTCACCTGGTTACCTGCTCCCCTGGGCTTATCTAGGCCTCAGTCTGAATTCTGAGTAATGAAGGCCTCCAGGTTGCTAGCAATTCCAGAGTCTAAGAGCGTTACCTCTAACTCCACCCACTCATAGCACAGACGATCACAGTTAGGCTGTGTTACTCAATGTTACTTGAGGCAACCTTGAACCTGCTCTAGTTTATCAAACAAACATCCATGGACATTAATAATCTTCCTGCCCAGCATCTGCTCCCCTTTTTTTTTGGTAACAGAACTCCATGCTTCCTTTAGAATCCACTCAGCCTGTGTCATCTGGGTGGCTCTGACTTCACCTCTAGCCAGGAAGGCCTATGACCCAGGCCCAAGTCATAAGCAAAATCCATCCCCCAACCACAGGAATGGGCTGGATGGGTTGACAGATGTGGCTGAAGATGTAAAGATGGACAGATCTAGATTCTCTATGAGTTTCCCAGGTGGCAGAGTGGTAAAGAATCTGCCTGCCAATGCAGGAGACTCAAGAGACACAGGTTTGATCCCTAGGTTGGGAAGATCCCTGAGAGGAAAGCATGGCAACCCACCCCAGTATTCTTGCCTGGAGACCCCTCATGGACACAGTCGCCTGGCAGGCTACAGTCCATAGGGTTGCAAAGAGTCAGACATGACTGAGCACACACAGAATCTCTATGGACAGCTGGGCAGGGAATCCTGGGATACGTCATGGGTCCTGGGAATGAAGTCAACATGGAAGAAAGCAGAGCCAAGAGGTTAAGACTCAGATGCTGTCCCCTGAGGCCCAGATCTAGCCATGCTGGGATCTCTGTGGTTAGTTGAACAATAAACTGCCCCCACTGTGAATGCATGTGTGTGAGCATGCACGTGTGTGTGTGTGTGTGTGCACATACCCGCTTAAGGCCCTGAGAACTGTCAGTTACTTGCAACTGACAGATTCCTAACGTAGAAATAAGTCATCTGCACTCTTATCATGGGTGATAAACACCGTGGCCCATCCGCCACTGATGGTTGAGAACCGTCAGCCCAGGGAAGCCTGCCAGCACAGGCTGACACTGACAGCACAAACCCTAATTCCCAGTTGCCTCCCTCAAGCCCGAGACCCAGCCTTGAGGACACTTGCGTTCCTTGAGTAGGACTCACTTTGGCAATTCTGTGTCGCTCTCCACTGGGCACCAGGCTGCCACCTCGCATGTCTTCAAGGTCCCATTGAATGACACGCACCTCCCTGTCGCGACTCCTACAGGGGAGAGGGGCAGCCAGGTCTGTGGGGGTCTTCTACTTTCTACTTTGTGAGTCAGAGTGGAAGCTCTGCCATGCATCCTATGCAGTCAGTCTCAAGCTATTCCTATCCTGGGATCTACACTGTCCAGAGATTCAAACTGGAGGAAAAGATCTGCTGAGACCTAGCCACATCTCTGCTTTGCTGATCACAGGGTGATGCCGAGCCACAGGACAGGGCAAGACCTGGAATGGTTTCTGGGGTGCAAGGACAGAGATGAATTTCGAGAGGGTTCTGGGACCCCCATCTGGATGTGAAGGCACTGGGGGAGTGCGGGGGATTCCTCCATTGCGGAGATCTCCCTCCGAGAGGGCCCCTCCCCCACCCCGGGGAGGCAGTCTGGTTGGGGGGCTGCCCTCCCCAGCTGAAGCGTCTCCTGTGGGGGTCACGGTCACAGATTCATACCGCTGCTGTGAGTGCCTGCAGAGCCGGCAGTGCAGTTGGCATCAGTTTCACACACAGTGGTCTTATCCGGGATCTGGAGGAGGAAGAACCCATGAAAACAGGTTTCACACAGCCTGGCCCCACCTACTGTGGGACAGGCATACAGAGGGGGGTATGAGGCCCAGGGCTCTTCTCCAAGAAGCCCCCTACCTCAGGACAGAGGCCTTGCGTCTGGTTCATGGTGATGATCATGTTGGTCATGATGAAGACAGAGTTTTCCTCCTGCAGAGCGGGTAGAAGGGAGACAGTGCTGCGTGTGACGTTCCGGGGAGCCAGGCAGAGCCACAAGGAGGGTGGGACATCCCTTTATTACGACAGTACCTTTCACTTCTCCCACATGCCGCACCAGAAATAGTTAAACACTGATCTTAGGGTCTCCCATTCTCGCCGATGAGAGTTTATAACCGACTGGAAACAGGGACTCAAAACACCTGCACGTGTGTTCACAGCAACAGCATTTACAATAGGCCAAAGGTGGAAATAACTCTGCATCTATCAAGAGGTGAGTGGATAATTAAATTGTCTAAGGGGTGAATGGATAAACAAACTGTAGTCCACACCTGCAATGGAATACGACTCAGCCATACAAAGGAGCAAAGCACTGACATGGCTACAAGGTGGATGAACTTCAAAACATGACGCTGAGTCCAAGACATCAGATACAAAAGGCCACGGAGTGTGTGAGCCCATCGATATGAAATGTACAGAAGAGGCAAATCCAGAGAGAGCAAGTAGATTGGTGGTTGTGAGGGGCTGAAGTGGGGGAAGGTGGACGAGGAGGTGATAGCTTAATGAGTGTGGGGTTTTCTTTCAGACTGATAAAAATGTTCTGGAGCTAGATTGAGGTGGTGTTGCACATCCCTGTGAATGTGCTAAATGCCACTGAATTTGTCATTCTTAACTGGTTAATAATGTGATACATGAATTTCACCTCCATTAAAAAAAAAAAACATGTCTACACCCTGAAATGGCTCCTTAATAAAGCTTGACTTGTTGAGGGGAAAGAGCCAAGAAGTACCCGGAATATCCTCTGCCAACTGGACTACCTCAGAGGCCCAGAAACACGAGAGCTCAAAGGTCTCAAGTTTGGCTGGTTCTCTTTCTTAACAGGAACTAAAGTAAATACATCAAACATACTATACAGAAGACCCAATCAGGGTTAGCCACTCACACTTCTCCCTTAGAGAAGGTTCTGTTTTCTCCTCCCAAGTATGAAAGTGCCCAGCGGTTGATCTGAAGTTTCTGGCCAACAGTTCTCTTGGGAATGAGATTGGAGAACTGCTAACAGTGACCTCCTACTACATGGAATAAAAGACAAAGGTCCTGCAAATTATAGCTGGACCTTCCACAACGGCCACTGGTACTCTAAAATGAAATGCGCTGAGCAGGTCACACTTTCAGGAAAAACAGTCAGCGCAGGGAGCCATCAGGGAAACTCAGGGACCAAAGAGCTTCCAGATGTCTCCACCCCCAGGTCTGACAAGGCGACAGAAGCTCTGGGAACAGTTGGCATCTTTCAAGGACAGGCCTGGAGCAAAGCATGTTAGGAGCGGAGGAAATGGCCGGAGGAGGCATGATGATGCGGCAGGAGGCCTGGGTCAGGTGCCCTGTCAGGCTCCCGTGTTCCATACATAGACACACTGCTCGCTCGGTGTTTACAGAAGGCTGCTCCCACATTGCTCCTGAGTTAGACCTGAACAAGTCAGTGAGATTTACGTTTTGTTTCCTATTTCTTATCTCTTTTAAGTTTAGAGAAATTTCAGTCTGGAGGTGAGCTGAGTAGATGTGGTGCAAACAGATATTTGTGTTCCCTCTTTGGAGAAGCAGAAGGGTATTGTGAGAGCTCATGAGGAGAGCCCTGCAGAACTCGTGGCCCCCAGCCCTGATCCGAGATGGAAGGCGAAGTTGCTGTGTGTTCCCTTCCACTGAGGGTCACAAGCAGGGTGCTGTTCCCTTCTGCGAGTCCAGTAAACAGGCTGAGCGTGATATTCCTAGAACCTGCCATGATGAGGCTGTGGCTTTGCAGGAAGCAGAGGTCTCTCTGCTGGGACAGGTGCATGCCTACAGGACCAGCTTCCTCCAGTAAACTATAAAGCCTCTGTTCCATTTGACCTTAATGGCTCCATCAGCTCTGACTTCTCTCTGGGCATCCCACTAGACCCTTTCCTTGAGAAGGCAGAAAGAAAATGAACACACTTGAAGAAAGAGTTTCTAAAGTCCTTGCTCGGAGCCAAGAGTTGGCAGCTTATCTGCACCTGGCCAGCCCAGTCACCTGAGCATGGGGCCATCTGAAAAGATATGTGGGGACTGGCTATGGATCACAGTCATATCATGGTCAAAGAGGGTCAGTATTTAACTTGGAGCTTGTGGATTAACAGACGGAAGACTACGATGCTGTGTCAGCTTCTTCCCTTCCCTTTGCTCCTGATGGAATCCCAAGTGGGTAGGTCTGTTTCCTTCTTGTTTGGCTTTGGGTCGCTAATGGCTGGGGCTTCCCAGGTGACCCAGTGGTAAAGAATCTGCCTGCAATGCAAGAGATGTGGGTTCGATCCCTGGGTAGGAAGATCCCTTGGAAAAGGAAATGGCAACACACTCTAGAATTCTTGCCTGGGAAATCACATGGACAGAGGAGCCTGGTGGGCTACAGTCCATGGGGTCGCAAAAGAGTCAGACACGACTCTGCGACTCAACAATAACTCTAATAACTGAAAAGATTTACCTTGCAGGTTTACAACAATAAAGTTAAATCATAAAATGTGGAAAGGTGAAAGTTTCACCTGCACTTTTCCCAGGATTTAAAACATACGCTTTTTCACTTTTCAGGGCCTGAGACAGACCAAGATGTCCATATGAAAGCTTCCTCTGTTTAACCCAGCCATGTTTTAGGGCTGAAGAAACACAGCTGACTGAATATTGCCTACTAGACCCTAAGCCAAAAAGAGGCCTGTCTACACTGCTTTCTTGGACTAGAACAATCAGTATGGGCACTGGTGATGTTAGCACTCTGGGCATGCCAATCACCAGTCAGGTGGGCAAAGTCGAAGGGAAAGCAGTAAACTAGAGGCCTGAGCTTTAAAAGACAGAGTCACAGTGAAAGGCTTACCTGAGCTGGAATCACATAATCAGCTACATCCCAGATCCGGAGTCCAAGTTTAGAGGTGTTGGTCATGGTGACGCCCTTGGCTTTTGCAGTAACTGAGCTGACCACAGAGTCTGTTTCCTGGTAACCCTTTTCCCACACAAACACCCACCTATAAAATAAAACAGGTCTCTTAAATTGCAAATATGGAGAGCCTACTGGACAGTGAGTTGCTAAGTCAGAAACAGATGGTTTCACAGCAGTCACTATGTAAATAAATATTACCTCATCCTGTGACTGATAACACAATTAGATAACTGAGAAGTGTTCAGTCTCTTTTTGAAGGAAGATTACCTTTGATCACATTTGGAAAAGAGACCACAATTTCACCAAGAGGAACTGAATCAGGAAGTTAAGAGATGGTATTTTTCTTTTTCTTTTTTCCCCAAATCCCCTAAATTCAGATCCTGAGTCAGATTTGATCACAGCAAGACATATAAAAGCAAAGCATTTTCTGCTTAAAAAAATCCTCATAACGGAGGCAGACGACCCTCCACAGGAACCCTATAAAGCTACATTGCCCAGGAACTTCCTTGGTGGCCCAGTGGTTAAAAATCCACCTGTTAATACAAGGGACATGGGTTCAATCCCTTGTCAGGGTAGATTCCACATGCCTCGGGGCAACTAAGCCTGTGCAACACAACTACTGAGCCAGTGCTCTATAGCCCAAGCTCCGCAACAAGAGAAGCCATCACAATGAGAAGCCTGGGCTTGGCAGCGCAGAGCAGCCCCCACTTGCTGCAACTAGACAAAGCCCGTGTGCAGCAGTGAAGACCCAATGCAGCCCAAAATAAATTGATTTTTTTAAAAAAGCTGCATTGCCCAACAGAAATACAACACAAGTCATATATGTAATTTAAACATTTCTAGTAGCGATGTTAAAAAGAAACAGGTAAAATTAATTTTAATGATATATTTTATGTAACTCAATATGTTCAATATATCTTAACATTATCAATATAAGATCTGTTAATATGACATTTAACTTTTTTTTCATACTATGTCCTTGAAATCTGGTGTGCATTTTACAGTGACAGCACATTTCGATTTGGAGCAGGAATACTTCAAATGTTCAGCAGCCTCATGGGACTTCTGGCTACCATACAGTACAAGTGCTGATGCACTGTATGTAGTCTAGAACTTTAAGATACTCCAAAGTAGGTGTAAACTGATCCTCCTACGAGCAGCAAAAGCCAAAAGGAAAAAGCTGCATGACAATTCCTGATTTCAAAGGTCTAACCTAGTACTGTGAGTTTAGTTAACCCATTAGTGGTGGTGGTTTAGTCACTAAGTTGTGTCCGACTCTTGAGACCCTATGGACTGTAGCCCGCCATGCTCCTCTTTCCATGGGATTTTCCAGGCAAGAATACTATAGTGGATTGCCATTTTCTTCTCCAGGGCATCTTCCCGACCCAGGAATCAAACCCAGGTCTCCTGCATTGCAGGCAGATTCTTTACCGATTGAGCTATGAGGGAAGCCCAACTCATTAGGTTTCAAAATTTAAGGGTGCATCCCAATCACTGGAGGGACAAGGAGTTGGTTGTTAATGATACTTAATGTGACTTAATGAATCCAAACCTGGGGGTTGGCCAGGTGGTTGTGATGTAGACTCCATATCTGGAAAGCCATTTTACTGAACACTGTCAGTACCTACTGCTGCTGTGCCAATGGATGGTAGAGGCCAAACCTGCCAGATCATGTGGATTCTTTCGGGTACTGTTAACAGATTCCAACCCCCAACCCAGTGGAGAGGAGCAGGTTCCTATTACCTTTAAACAATTCCTCAGATGAGTCTCTCATGATCAGATTTGATCAGATAGGTTTGGGAAACACTAAAACACTGGTTCGGAGAAGGCAATGGCACCCCACTCTAGTACTCTTGCCTGGAAAATCCCATGGACAGAGGAGCCTGGTAGGCTTCAGTCCATGGGGTCACTAAGAGTCGGGGACACAACTGAGCGACTTCACTTTCACTTTTCACTTTCATGCATTGGAGGAGATGGCAACCCACTCCAGTGTTCTTGCCTGGAGAATCCCAGGGATGGCAGAGCCTGGTGGGCTGCCGTCTATGGGGTTGCACAGAGTTGGACACGACTGAAGCGACTTAGCAGCAGCAGCAGCAGCAAGATACTGGTTCCTAAACTTGGCTGCACATCAGAATCACCTGGGGAGGCGGTAATATTCTACAGCACTTCAATCAGAAGGTCTGGGTCTGAGAGCCAGCAATCAGTATATTTTAAAGATCCCAAAATGGCTCTATGTGCAGTTTGGGGAACACTGTATTAGGCCTTTTAACAAAACAAACAAAAAATGAAGCAGCAGATAACATCTGTCAGCTCAGCACCTGTAGACACTCCAGGTGGACCATGAAAACAGGTCCAGTTGGTAAATTAATTTCCACCTCCTGGCTAGAGTTTTATTATAGTGTAATGGGTACATCAGTTAAAGTTAAGCACTCAGTAAGGACTTATGGTGGCAGGACAGGTAAGCAAGGAGGGCAGCATGGCGAATGATGAGGTTAGGGCTGGTGCCTATATCAAAGACTCCAACAACCCCACAAAACGAAGGAACTGAACTTTAAGTGATTTTTCAAAGTGTGACCTGTTATCTTGGGTTACCACATGATGCTCAAAGGAAAGGATAGGAAGCCACAGACCCCAAAGGAACCATGTGAAAATCCCAAAACTTGGTTTCTGTCAGCAGACCATCAGAATGGGAAGTGAAGAGCAAAGAGTGAGAAGTTTAGGGAGAAGCCCTCACAGCCCCAGTCAAAGGCTATCGGGGAGCAAGTCAGAGGGCAAGAAGCAGGAATGGCGAGGATGAAGGTCTAGCTAGGCTTTGCCTTCAAGACACATCAAAGCACCTCCGGACCCAGACCCGGGACAGAGCCGGTCCCCCTCGAGGCTGGGGGTGGAAAGGAGTAGATGGAGGATTCGGGAAGTGGGGTATGTCACAGGCTTCGGGTCGCTGTCCCCAGGACCCCACCTGGAGGGCGCTCGCGGGGCTCAGCCGAGGACCTAGGCCAGGATGAGCAGGTGCGCCGTGCGGGCCTTCGGGCCACGCCCTGACCCCAGGACCCCCGCGGGGTGGACGCCCGCGGCCGCGCTCACCCGATGACGTAGACCAGGATGAGCAGCTGCACCGTGCGGTTCATGAGCCCCACTTTACGGCTGCGGATGAGCACGATGCGCGGCGTGTCGTACTCGAACAGGAAGGCCCCCAGCACCGCGCAGCAGCCCGCCATGGCGCCGCCGCCGCGCCTCCCGGCTCTGCTCTCTAGGTCCGGTGGCCGGCCCTGCCGCCGCGTCCCTGCCCGGGAGCCCCGCCCGGAACCGCCGTTCGCGGAGCGCAGGGCCCGGAAGAAGGCGGCGCTGGCCCTGGGGGGACGGGGCCGGGCGGAAGGCGTGACCTCCCCCTCGGGTACGAGTGCCCTGCCGCCTCAGGAGGGCCGGAGGACGAGCGACCTTCTCAGGGGGAATGAGCCCGGGGGCTGAGGTGACCTCCTCTTTGGGAATGAATGATCCCTGAGGAGAGGGGCGAGGGAATAATGGAGCGAGCGACATCCTTCAAGGGGGATGAACTCTACGGGGACGAATGACCCAAAGAGGAGGTCCAGGGAGGACCAGTGAAGCTCAGGGGAGAGAGAGCCCTCAAAGAGAGAGTGACCTCCCCCTTGGGAACAAGGTACCCTGCCCGCCTCCCCACTTAGACGGGCAATGCGCGACCCCCGTGGGATATCTAGAAGTGACTGCAGGCGGAGGGGAGGGAGGCTAAGGATGGGGGTAGCTTAGGAGAAAGAGTAGTCCGACTGGAAGTCCAAACTCATGCAGGCTCCAAGGGGGGCGGGTGGCGGGCAGCGGCCGCCTATTGCCGGGGGGCGGGGGGGGGGGGAGTTAGTTGCTCAGTCCTGTAGGACTCTATGCGACCCCATGGACGGTAGCCCGCCAGGCTTCTCTGTTTATGCAATTCTGGAGTGAGTAGTCATTCCTTTTTCTATCTTCCCCACCCAGGGACCCAGAGATCGAACCCCAGTCTTCTGCATTGCAGGCGGACTCTTTACCATCTGAGCCACCAGGGGGAAAAGCCTATTGGTACCCCAGGAGCTCTTGGCTGTTGGAGAAGGAAATGGCAACCCACTCCAGTATTCTTGCCTGGAGAATCCCAGGGAAGGAGGAGCCTGGTGAGCTGCCGTCTATGGGGTCGCAGAGTCGGACACGACTGAAGCGACTTGGCGGCAGCAGCAGTAGCTCTTGGCTGGAGCCACAAACGCTGTAAAATACCCGTCCCCAAACTGAAGGCAGGCACATCCCTACTCCAATCCGGATGCTTCCTTAGTTGCAGGACAGAGGAGGAAGCAGCCTGAGCCTGGTGAGGGGTTTCTGTGGCCATCCTTTGAACTGAGAAAGTTTTATCACAACTTTAGGGAGAATTGGAAAATAGAGGGAAAGTGGAGGGAACACCCACAGTTGCACCACTTGAACATAATTTTCCACGTGTGTTCATTCCCTTCAGGTATGTTTTCATAAGTATGTTTTATATTTAGTTTCATTGATTTGTTCAACAAGTGTTAATAAATACCTTCCATATACCAGGCACTGTCTAGTGAACAGAACAAACCCAAACATCCTACCCTTATGGAGTATATATTCTAGGAGATAGTTGTATATAGTTTGTAAGCATAGTCATTAATAGTGATTCCCAGTTCCTGATTCACACTTCATTTTCCATGTTACCGCAGACTTGTCATTATAAATCTATGGATTGTTTCCTGTTAGGGGTAATTTCCCTAACTGCTCTCATCTGATTGCTTCTAGTTTGTGGATCCTGTGCATAATCTTTGACACACCATTTTAGTTCTTTTCCTGGAAGTGAGAGTCCTAAGCCACATTGCCTTGTTTTTCCAAATATAAGAAGGTGAATAATAAAATTTGAGGAAGACAGTATGTGCCTCTGGAGATGGACTTGTCATGTTAGAGGGAGGAATAGAGCTGCCATCTCCCTCAGTCCAGAATGGCCCCAGGAAAAGGTGGTAACAGTTTAAATGGGATTTTATTCATTTTTTGACAGATATTTATTGAGTGCCTGTTGTATGTTGGACAGTGTTCTAGGCATAGGAGGGGAACAGACAGATGAAGTCTCTGCTGAAATGGAACTTTGCTGTTGGGGTGGAGGTGGGGCTTAAATTTTACGCAGAAAAGGAAAACTGAGTCACTCAGTTCTCATTGGAAAGAGACTTCAAAATACTTTTCCTTAAAAGTCAAACACATTTCCAGCTCTCATTAATACTTATTTCATAGTAATGATGGTCCCCACCTTACAGCTCTGAAATTTAAATGTTTGTGTTCTGAAACAATACTCAGTTAAGAGAAATGTAGAAATAAAAAGTTTTTGTGAGTGCCTAGTTGATAGTGTACCCCTAGGTCCAACCAGAGAAGCTGATCCTGAAAAATAATGGGGAAAAGAAAATTAAAAATTATTTCATTTACACACTTGCCATTAAGAAACAGCTTTCTTAAGGCATAATTGACATACAATAAACTGCATATATTTAAAGTATACAATTTTATAAGTTTGACATATGTACACAACCATGAAACCATCACCACAGTTAAGATAGTGAATATCCAATGTGATAGCCAGAGTAATTTTAGTGTATAAAGTGAAAGTGACTGCAGATGACAGTTGGGACTTTTCGCATATGTCTTAATCACATTGAGTTCCATATTGTGTGCCTGAGTGTAGTCAGTTATTGAGCAACTTTAGGAATTTTTCTTGAAAAGATTTTAGTAAAGATAACTCAATAAGGAAAGGATAGTCTTTCCAACAAATGGTGCTGGAACAACTGGATATCTACATACAAATGATGAATTTGTACCCCTACCTCTTATCATCTATGAAAATTAACTCATAATAGATCAAAGACCTAAATATAAAAGTTAAAACTATGAGTCATGTGAAAACATAGGTATAAATCTTTGTGACCTTGAATTGGACAGTGGTTTTTTATGATACCTGCAGTACAGCTGACAAAAAGAAAAAAGATAAATTGACTTCATCAAAATTTAAAACTTTTGTGCATCAAAGGACACTACCGAAAAAAGACAACCCACGTAATAGGGAAAACCGTATATCTGATAAGGGTCTAGAATCTTACATAAGAGTTCTCTAACTCATAACTCATCTGTAAAATGACGACAAAAAATGGGCAAAAGGTTTGAATAGCCATTTCTACAAAGACAATACACAAATGGCAGTAAGGATATGAAAAGATGTTCAGTATCACTGGTCACTAGGGAAGTACAAATTAAAATTACAGTGAGGTGCCACTTCATCCTACTAGCATGGCTATAATCAAACCAATTGACAATCAAAAAGATGAGGCTGGAGAAAATTGGGATATTCATATCCTACTGGTGGGAAAGTAAAATGGTGCCTCTGCTTTAGAAAAACAGTTTGGCAATTTCTCAATATATTGAACAAATTACCATATGACCTAGCATTTCTACTTCTAGGTATATACCCAAGAAAATGAAAAGATATGTTCATGTAAAAACTCATGCATAAATGTTCATAGTAGCATTATTTGTAAGCTCCAAAAAGGGGAATTAACCTAAATGTCCATCAACTGATGAATGGATAATTAAAATGTGGTCCATCCATATAATAAGATCTTCAGCCATAAAAAGAAATGAAACACTGATATATACTACCAAGTGCATGAACCTTGAAAACTATGCTAAGTGAAAGAAGCCAAGTACAAAAGGCCACAAATTGTATGGTTCTGTTTTTATGAAATGTCCAAAATAGGCAAATCCATAGAGACAGAAAGTTGATCTGTAGTTGCCTAGAACTAGGGAAACAATAATCAGGAGTGACTGCTGCTGAGTTTGAGGTTCCCATTTGGGATCATAAAAACGGTCTGAAAAATAGATAATGGGGATAGTTGCAGGAATCTTGTGAATCTTTTAAAAGTCATTGAATTACACATTTTTTAAAAGGTGGCTTTTATGTATGTGTGTGTGTGTGCTCAGTTGTGTCCAACTCTGCGACCCCATGGCCTGTAGCCAGCCCGGCTCCTCTGTCCATGGGAGACAGGCAAGAATATTAAAGTGGGTTGCCGTTTTCTACTCCAGGGGATCTCCCAGACCTAGGGATCAAACCTGCATCTCCTGCATCAGCAGGTGGATTCTTTACTGCTGAGCCACCAGGGAAGCCCTTTATGGTATGTGAAGTATATCAAGTTAAAAAAAAGAAGAAAGAAAGACACAGAGAGTAAACAATCAAAGACCTAAAAAAAAGTACCCACCACATAATGGGCTCATGTTCTTTCCTAATAGAGGAGCACCTTAGGCCCTCATATGGAGCTAATTCTTATTTTAGAATATTAAATTCCAGCAGTCTGGATTATCTGATTCCTTTGTTGGGCGTTAAGCCAGTTTATCACAACATTCATCCTCTAAAAACTGCCCTTCCTCACCAAGGTGGCCCCAGCAGCCATTTTTTATACTACACGACCTCATCAACTGCCACAGGGGAACTTAACTCAAAAGGGCCAGTCTAGTTTCTCCCCTCTAGATTGGCACTGGGAGAGAGGTAGCTCTTGGTTCTCTGCAAGTGAGTTGATGTAACCTCAGGGTTTGTAGAGTAGGAAGCCAAGAAAGGGAGTTTACAGAACCAAAAGAAAGAAACAGGCAGGCAAAGGGAGCAGAGGTGAGGATACTAAGAAACTTGCCTCTTTGGTTTCTGCTGAGTTTCCACTTCCTGGTTCTACATCCTTGGTTCTTTTTTGCCCTCAAGGTACCCCCATAAGTTTGTAATAACTGTTTGTTTTTTTCTTAAGCTAGTAAACTTTTAAAAGTTGTGGTTGGAAAGGCTTTGGCTATGACACTAGGTACCAAGAGATGAAAAATGTACTGTCACTGGTAATGTGGGTGTTAAAACAAATGTTTGTATGAATGCAGCATCTTAGAGGTGGGAGGCACTGCTTGAGGCCACCAGTGCTAAGAGCAGCAATAAATTAATTAATAGCCCATAAAAAGAAATAAGTTCCTATAAAAAGCAGAGCCAGGAACTCCAAAAACCTCATCTGTCTGGGATCATTTAGTTGAGAGGCCAGCAGTAGCTGACTGTGGTGCATGTTAGGGCATTTTATTGCATGGTCATTACAGTGGCCTTGAGCTGCAAAAGGTCAGCCAGATAAAGCTGTATCTTTTATTCAGGAGTATCTTCAATGAAAAAAAAAGT